TAATTTTTTGATACTTAGACAGGTTATACAGAACCATGATATTCACTGTTCCACTTAATTCCACTAACAACCACTTGCCTCACTAACTGAATGCTGGATGTCCCAAAACTTCCCAAAAATTAGTAATGATAAATCAGTCATTCTTTTCAGAGCTGTAATGTTAAACTGTAATTTTTAATTTTTAAAATCATCTTGATGAACAAGTCAAGAAGGTTATCTAGTCATTCTTTTTGTTGTTATATGATTTGCTAGTATAGTAGTATTTTCACCTGGACCAACCAGCAACCTGGATTAGAACTAGCACCAAGATATATGAACATGTGGGGCACCAGGAGAGCTCTCCTGGTAGATCTGGCGCCCCATGTACCAAGGCTGAGTCCTTGCTGCAGTGGCCCAGGGTGCGAGTCCATGCTGTGGCCCTTTGCTGTATGTCATCCCCACTCTCTCTTCACCCTCCCCTTCCCGTCACCCTTCAGCTGTCACTATCCATTTAAAAGGTATAATAAAAGTTGGGTGCCCGGTTAGCTCAGTGGGTAGAGCTGGCGACCCATGTGCCGAGGCTGAGTCCTTGCTGCAGCGGCCCAGGGTCTGAATCCGACCTGCGGCCCTTTGCTGTGTGTCATCCCCTCTCTCTGCCCCCCTTTCCTGTCTGTCTTCAGCTGTCCTATCAAATAAAGGCAATAAAAGCCAAAAAAAAAACTTTAAAAAAGAAGGTATAATAAAAGCATAAAAGCCCATATTACATTTTCATATTCCCCAGTGTTTCCACTTTTCAATCTCCTGTGTTTGATGATCTCATTGTTTGTTTTTCCTTTGCCTCCAGTATTAGCTTTTTTATTTTTCTAGTTTTTAGCTCTTTAATTTGGCACTATTATGTACTGAACCTCTAAAAAAAAACACAACAATGTCGGTATTTATCAGGAACAAAGTCAGGAAAAGGCCGTACCCAGAGGTTAAAAAAAGTAAAAGAATCATATTGTGTAATAAAAGTGCCACTTTTTCCTGACTTTGTCTTTGGGAAATATTGAACCTGGAATTGACTGTTTGACCTCTGATTTACTGGGAAAGAACTGCAGATTATAATTATTATTAGACTGTAATTTATTTAACAACAACTTGAGAGATTATGTTAAAAACCATTTAAAAAAAATAAAAGTAGGTTAATTAATACCTACTTTTATAATTGCATTTGCATTTATGATTGTACATGACTTACTAGCTCTGGCTGTAGGCTTCTTGATAATCGGGATTTATTAATGACTTTATTAACATTTAATAGACAAACCAATGAGGGTTTATCAACATAAGTTGGGAATCAAATGAAACCTGGCAGTCCAGTTGTTTTCTCATAGGAATGGCTTGTAACTGCTTTATAAAGCATTAATAAATAATTATTTAACAATTATTTAAGCCATTACTTACAACGTATAACAACCTTATTAAAAGAGGTGACAACATTATACTCAAGCACTTACCCACAGTAAGAGGAAGGGTAAAAAGGGCAGTGAGTAGGACAGAGAAGGGCATCGTCTCCTGTGAAGACAAGTCAGATTGTTTCATCTACAAACAAACAGTGGACAGCGACGCACACTTGTCTTGTCATTTATCCCCACCCACCGACCCATCCGTCCATCCGAGCCCCGGGACAGGCGAGCATCCATCAACAAGCCACACAGCAAGAGGAGCTGACAGACAAGTGTGGTGATTTATCACCGATACATACATCCAAAAATAATCAATACTGTCACAGTCCGACCCCCCCGCTGTTAGAAGTCATGTCCACTCAGGTGTCCAACACGTCCCCCAGCAGCCGATGGACATTCACAGCAATAACGAGCAGCATTAGACCACCAGTCACTGTTAATATAGGCTGCTAATGACAGTGTGGGACAGGTTTCATCTAAACTCACCTGCAGGATGTGCGAAGAATAAACCCACCGCTGTATATTTATATTAGTAAATGTTTATGTGAATGGGGATAACAACGTCCTCTGCAGAGCGCGCATGCGCATTGGTCCCCCTCTTTTATTTATGGCGATGTTAGGTTGTATTCTCAGCTGCTGCTACGCAACATGCGTCACATATTGCGTTATGTTTGCCAGCCCGCGGGTAGAAATACGCTATTAGCGCACAGTGACAAGGTGTGGTATTTCTAATGGGCTGTGTGCCAAAAATAAACCTAAAATGTTCATGACAGATGCACACTGATGATATTTACTCTCCAGAGAAATGTACTGAATTACAGATGTGAGGTAGCCAATATTATACTTGTGACTCTTGTGATACATTTTAGGCTCATTAATAAGAGTAGCCAGTTGAAATTAGCTTCATCTCGACAAACTACAACAGTAAAGTGCTAAATATGCATCAGTGATAATAATCTAATAAAATCATTTATAATTGTATAACACTTTCCTATCTTTTATCTACTTTTTCAATCTAATGGAGTTTTTTTTATATTGCAGCCTATTACTTCTTCCAGCACTGACCTTATTGTAAAAGGTATTACCAATAATCACAACAGTTAAGAGTCAGGACCAGTTTTAACCAATTTCTAGTTTCACATCAGGTGTTTATACAACTAAAAAAATAACAAACCAGCAAGACTTAAACAATTGTTACATTTCAATATGAATCGTGTTACTTGGTGTCTGTGAAAAGCACACTGAGAAACACATCTCAGTGACACAGTTTTACAATTTAACTTTAGTTTGTCCACTTTATTTAAGTGAACAAAGTCCTCTCACTTATAGGGATGATTTTTCTTCTTCTACTGACTAAAATGTAAGTGTGCATAACAAAGGAGCGGATCCTCATCACCAATCCTCCCACTGCTGCCTTGTGGACTGTTACTTTTATCCCTCAAGGGGAAATTAACCCCATAACATTAATGAAATAAGGCAATCTGTACACAGAAGATGACTGGATCTCAAGGCCTTGTAGAGGGAGGATTCAGGTTGTGTGTGATCGCACAGGCATTTATCCTGTGGAAAGTGAAGATGCTGACACCTTTGAGTTCAGAGACTTGCAAATCAACGTGGCCCAGACGGTGCTGGTGGAGTTAAAGCCTGGTGAGCAACACAGAGGAAGAATGTATGAACAAACTGTTACTGATGATTCAAACTTTGACTTCATTGGGGTGGTGGGGCACCTAACTATTGCTATAAAGGGCTAGTGTGTAACATTTTAGAGGATCTATAGGCACCAGACCTAGGGGGTTAGGGTTAGGGTAACCCTAACCCTAACCCCTTACAAACAATTTCCAGTCACATTTTCAAGCTTTCTGATTTACTGTAAGTGCATGTCAAATTCATACCAAAATATTTCACAAATGCTGTAACTAAACTACAATAAATAATATAAAACATTTTGTCTAAATTGAAACAAGTTTACATGAATTCAAAAGGAAGGTAACCCATTACAAATAAACAAAAAATTGGCTTAACTTAAAATACTAATCAAAATAATAAAACTTAAAAGACACAATTACTTTATAACCTTCATTATGTTGAACTGCCATGTTTCTACGAGAGATGTTCTGATGCCGATACCAGAATCGGAAATTCTTTTGGTAGTGCCTAAAATGCAATATTTGATATCAGTGAGTTTGTGACTACATCCCAGCAGTATCCCATTTGCCATAATTTTCCTGAAATCATGATCAGCCCTACTCTGACTGACTCTGACAAAGTTTTTACTGGAGCCAAGCAATGCAACAGTGATAGCAATCACACAATACACAAACAATAATATATGCAGTATATATATATATATATACTGCATATCTAGTTATTAAAGCATATGTATGGGAATGGTAAACAGTATCTATATATAGTTTCTACAGTAGCCTTTTGCATTTAGCCACCGTAGTTTCTCCTCCATGCTTGGAAGGCAGGTGGTCTTCTGATAACTTCACCACTAGATGTCACACAATCCAACTCACTGGCCCTTTAAGACAGACTAAAAAAAAGAATTGACTGCCTAGGACAATACATTTAAATCTGAATATCTCACACTTATTATAAGTCTGGATATGTCCTTTCTTTCAATAGAAATACACCCACAAATGAGGTGTGATCAAAGATTGAGGCCAGTACAGTTTAGAGTGAAGCAGTAGAGGGTAGGAGGAGTCAAATCAAGACATAAATCAATTCAAGTCTTTTCCTATTGGGCAATTTCTTAGGTCTTGCTATTTTTGCTTTTTTTCTTCTTCTCAGGTGAGAAAGAATAAAGCTCACTCAGTGTATCTCCATGATGTAATTCTTTCAGCTGTTTCATCCGTCATAATCAGGATATCAGTCTAATGGGTATTATTACTATTATTATTAATAATAATATTGGAAAACTGACCTAAGTATCAAAAGTGTTTCTTCATTGTTACACGCAGAAGATTTTAGTGTTGGTGTTTTTGTTTTGATTGTGGTTTTAAGTTAAAGTGGCCCCAAGGGGAAAAGGTGATGTTTTGGTGTATGTAGGTGAGTCTTCCAAAGGTGCAGGAATGAGCTACAATGGTTGTGCGTTTTGCAAAGAACGTGAAATGCGCCTATCTAGTGCTAGTGTTTGGTTTCTCTTATTTGGACTACTGTAGTAACATGGTGGTTAAAGATGGCGGCCCCCTTGGAGGGAACTCTCCTGTAGTTAAAAACGGCTCATTCAAAGGTAACAAAAATGCAACAATTCCTATATTCAGGTGATTATACACGAATGAAAACACAACTATGACTATTATATTCCTTTTCTGCCAATACATCCTCCTTAATGTTACACACCAGACCTTCAAGTGACATTGGGTAAAAACATTATTTTGGGTGAGTTAAATATATAAGAGTAGTCTCATATGTCACATGTTTACAACAAAAGGTGTTTATCTGATTAAATTCCTATACCCACTTCCCTCAGGAACCACTACACCACTGGATGTGACCGTGCGAATTGGGGGAGTTAGGGTTAGGGTTCACGGATGGTATAGGCACCTCCCACAGCACTTGAACGCACAACGGGTTTCCCAGTAGAAACGCCCTGATGGGTGGGTCCTGACAAAGCGCCCCAACTCCGGCAGAAGAAAACAGAATAGATTATGTGAGATACACAACTCTGTGTCTCAATATTGTGCAATATCTTTAGTAAAGTAATCGATAAAACAAATCATGCGATCAGCTGATCGACGACGGTACACACGAGACTCCGGTTTGTGTTTCCAACCACGGCACGTTATGATGCTACTGTTGCTGTTGCTGGGTGCCTGTTTCTGTGTGGGTGAGTAAGAAGAAAATAAAAACTAATATGAATCCTTCTTAAGCGAGACTACGTGTAGGTTTAGGCTGTTTCCCAGAGTAAGAAGACTCAGTAATAAAATATACAATTAACATTAGTAGGTAATTAGTAGGTAATTAGTAGGTAATTAGTAGGCTGCATTTGCTCTGTTACTGTACTGAAACAGTTTTGAGGCATTTATACTTTCAGTTTTATCTTACACTCCCACTCGACTACATCTCAGATTGAAAGATTGTTTACTTTCTCCTTCTACATATATATATATATATATATATATATATATATATATATATATATATATTTTGTTTTTGTTTTTACAGATCTTACAGATTTTATATCATCTGATTTTTCAGTTTCCGTGGCTGAGTTGTGTAAAACTATGTGTGCTTGCTTGGGTTTATGTATGGTCGTCATGTAGTAAAGATACATTTGTGACTTGTGCTGCAACAAAACGGGAAATCACACGGTCTCATTAAATTTATGATGTTGCACAACAATAATTTGTGTAGATAAGATCAGATTTTTATGTAGGACTTACTTATAACAACCTTTACATTAATATTATTGCTGCTTTTGGATCTGAATACTTCTTCCAACACTGTAGCTGGTTAGTCACGATGAGCAGTAGTTGTAATCTTGACGTATGTGCATCCATTGAAAAGTTATTTCTGGATTATAACTTGTTCCCAAGTAAACTAACATACAGATGCATGTTCAAATAGTTGAACTACATAATATATAGAAATAATAATAGAAAAACAATGCAAAAAAAAGGTCTTTGTTGACGTTCACAAGATTTGCATTCAGTGTTTTTCTGTTGACTTCCTTTCTAGGCATCTCATATGACGAGGAGGACTATGGGACCACACTCAGGATAAGGCTGTCCAGAAGGGCTGTATCCCTGGAGTTCACCCCGATGTACAGCTCTGATGTGACAATCTTGTGGAAGCGTGATGACCCCCCAGCCCAAGAGGACCAAAGGAGGAAGGAGATGGGCAGCTACTTTGTGATATATTATTCAACCCAGGGAGACAGTGGCAGCTACAGAACAAAAGACAAACATGGGCTCAGTGTATCTCGCACAAACATTAGGGTTGTAGGTGAGGATTTTTGTCAAGACACTGTGGCTGTATAACTCTTCACTTGGTAGTTTGGACCTTTTAAGTGTGATATCATACCAACTGTAGGTCAAAATACTAAATAACATCAACTAAAAATGTCATGGTCCCACAGTTTTTTATACTGGTGCATGGCCTTATGGGTCAAGTGAATACTAACTAACTAACTTAAATAACTCTAAAATGCATGATAGTCAACCTAAAAAGAAGACTGTATTTGATTTATTTTGAACTCTAAAGTCTTTATGACTTGTGATTTCACTTGAACTCTTTTGACTTGAAAATACTTGATACGTTTCCCCAAGCCAAAAGTTTTAAAAGTATGTTATTGAAAATGGGTACCACAAATCAATTAATTTCAACTAACTTAAACTCTAATAATTTCTTCAGTAAAGATAACAATGGAGGATGCTCCAATTTGTGCAAACCAACACACATAAGATGTTTTTGAATACTACTACTATGACTAAGATACAAATGTTTTGGAACGTGAGCATATGGATGGAAACTTATCTTCATTGAGGTCCAATGTACCTGACATGAATTTAAAGGAGCAGTTCCCCATTTGTGGGAAAGTTGGTTATTCACTTCTTGCTGAGAGTTAGATGAAATGATTGAAGCTGCTCTCTCATATCTGTACAGTTAATATGAAGATACAGGACACGGTTAGCTTAGCTTAGCACAAAGACTGGAAACAGGGCAAATGGCTATCCAAAGGTAACAAAAATCCATTTACCAGCCCTGAAGTGTGATGACAAGCTGCAGTTTTAGTGGGAGTTTTATGCCGGACTAGATTAGGTGTTTCCACTTTCTGTGCCATGCTAAGCTAACCATCTGCTTTATAGTCACTGTACAAAAAGGAGTGAGGTATCTAACTCTCAGCAAGAAAATGAATAACCATATTTTTTATTAAAATGTGGGGTGAATCTTTTAGGACGATCACAGGTGCCATGTGAAAGAAAAAACTATAAACTCACACTTAGAACCAAGACTACACAGGTTGTTTGCTGCTCAAAAGAATTTGGGTTGATAATCACTTTAATATGCTCTGTCTTGTGTGTCCTCTCTTCCAGCAATAAAGAAGTTGTATAAAGTGAAACTTAATGACATGGTCAAGTTCGTTTTCCCCCTGGAACTAAACTCCTGCAACATTCAGTTCTTCCACGAAAGCGACGAAAGAGGGACTGAGATTGTTAAGCATGGTCAGCAGCTGGATTTCTATGACTCTGAATGCACAGGGTGGGAGATGATAAGGCCATGTAGCCTTGGAATAAAACATACCCAAACGGCATGCAGCGGGCGCTATCTGGGCGTAGATCAAAATGGCCATACAGCCTTAGAGGCGACACTGGAAGTGGAGTGTAAGTAACCTGTGTGTTTTAGAATAAGTGTCAGATGACTGTTATTGATTACAGATGTACATACACATACATGATTAATCAATTATCCCAGTTTTTGTTGCCGATACATTTTTTGAAATCGAAATTGTTTCAGCAGCGCCTTTTGATGCATCTAAAATCGGTATTGGAATTGGTATTTCGTTTGCGGTTACTGCCTTCTGTACCTGCTTGAAGTGCTGCTGCTGTGGAAAGAGCTCCTCCAAAAGTGACGAACCTGAGACTCCGGATGAGGAGCCTGCAGTGCAGCACCATCAGGTGAACACATTCTGCATTAAAGTTACCTGACACTCCTGTGTGTGTACATTGATGTTAAGTTACATGTCCTGCTGTTGATACCATGTGCATATTGTGTTTCTGTTTAATTCGACCTGCAGTATGACCATGAGCCTGTTGGACCGAGCCGAGAACCACTGAGTCCTCCTGCTGAAACACACTACCCTGCTCACCCCTCTTATACTCCGACTGGTCCATTGGTTAGTGTGTGTTGCATTTCATAGAAAGAACTTCACCTCCCTTGTTTATTCGCTTCTCTGGCTTCTACTAATGTGTTATGTGTCACTTCACTCTGCAGATACACAATCCTCCTGCAGTGGATGTACCGCCATCTGAGGTATGACCTGTTGTTCATATCACAGATATTTACAGAACAAATTGGGATTTCTTTCAAACCTCACTCGGTATCTCACTATGGGAAGCGCCTCCTGGCATGACCAATCATGGAAGCTCCAATGTCCTGAGACAGACCAATCATCTTCAGATGCACGTGCCTGCCCGTCCCCCTTTATAAACACCCCTGGTGCCACCCAGCAGCATTCTTGCTTTCTTCCCCGTGAAGATCATTTGAGCTGCTCAACATCTTGGTGACTGAAAATTCATTCAACTGCTCTCCGATGCAGCCGCCAAGGTAGTCACCAAGCCTGGATATCTGGGGTCAGGATATTTTGAATTTAATTATTTTGTCAAGAAGGATTTTAATTATTACCAGTTCGGGTGGATTGTTGCATGTTATGGCGGGGTTCCATCCTGAGCTTGGGTTTGGATCAGGCTAGCATGTCGAGGTGAGCATGGCCGCTTTTACTGCTAGTGTTAGCTGTTAAGGTTGTGGGCTAGCTATGGCAGCCACCACATCCTCTTAATGGGACTGCTGGCGGCGGCAAGGTTAAGGACGTGCATCGCCTGTATCGCTGGCGGACTCTGAGTCCTGTGAGCACTGCTGCGCCATGCCACTGAGGATTCTGCTCAGTTGGTGGGGAGGCTCAGCCTTCCTCTTCTCCTCGAGAGGTGGACCTGCACGAGGTGTGTAACTGAGCGGCGGCCAGGTTGGCTATTGACTGGCCCGTGTCGCAGGGCGACAAGGGAGAGGAGAGGGATTTGTATGATGGCAAAATCCTGCCTTCTCATCAGGTCTCCACCAGGCAGTTGCATGAAGGAGATGAAGCGGTATTGGGGCAAGCCATTCCGACACAGAGTTCCCGTCAAGAGTTACTCTGGCCTGGACATCGCTAACAGCGAGGGTCTGGGGCTCGGTGGCGTACCATCTCCATATCAACCACTGATCCACTATCGCCTCGGCGGGACCCGCCCTTCCAGGTCAAATGGAGCTCTTCACCGCCTCCATATACCAGAAGGTGTACAAGTCTGCAGCCCAGTCTATTAATACTCTGAATTTGGTCACCCTGCTCACAGCTTACCAGGCTGAGCTGTTCCAGGACATGGGTCACCTTTTGAATAAGAGCTCCCGTAGTCCGGTTATTTGGGAGGAGATACGTGTTGTCACAGACTTTATTCTCCAGGTGTCCAGAGGCGCTGTACAGGGCTGTGGCCGCGTTATGGGCCTGGCTGTGGCGGGAGAGAGATTGTCATAATGGATTCTCCGTTCAACACGTCACAGGATAAGGGCTTGTTTGGTGAAGCTGATACCGCCATGCAACAGGCCAGCGACCTGAGGAAGAAGCAAGGGGAGGCCTTCGATCTTTGCCTTCCCCGCAAGACAACACCTCGCCCACCACCGCCAACCTGCTTTGGTTTTAAGGCTGCGGTGGCGGGAGCTTTAAAGGCCCCAGATTTCAGGCACCTGAGCAGCCAGCGCACCAGCAGGGCTCCCAGGGCTGCTGCTACTTCAGCCATTATGCCGAGCCGCTCATCCTGCCAGCCTGAAGGGAGGAAGAGGCAGGCGACTTAGGAGCTGTGGTTAGAGGCTCAGCAGTCAGCACTCAGAGAGATCCCTGTCCTTAGCCCCCCGGGGACAGACTGGCAGTTTCCTCTTCCCCTCAAGAGGAGGAGAGATGAGTTGGACCAGTGCCCTGATCAGCGCTGTGCAACAGCCCCTGTTCCCCCTGTTCACAGGCGTGGAGAAGCATGAGTTGCCTCAGTGCTCCCCAGTTCAGTTACCGAGTGAGGTATCTCACAACACTGCCCTACTTGCATGGATAGGGTACGTGGAAGAAATATGCTTGAGAATGCCGCTGGGTGGCACCAGGGGCATTTATAAAGGGGGATGGGCAGGCCCGTGCATCTGAAGATAATTGGTCTGTCTCAGGACAGAAGTGGTGTTATTGGAGCTTCCATGATTGGTCACGCCAGGAGGCGCTTCCCATGGTGAGATACCTCACTCTTTTTTCAGAGAACTGGGGTTACCCTGGTAACCAAAAGATTTCTTAGTAGCTCTCCAGTGTGTTGTTTGTGCTATTGTGTTTCTTTAGATTAAAGTATCCTTGAGGCTTAACACGTGTTGGATGCATTTTTCTTCCTCAAAAAACATTTGCAATGCCAAGTTTTGTTGTTGCATTGTTTCCATCCATGTTCACTAGTTAGCACTCTTGCCTGCCTTTGCTGTTTGCCTTTGTCGATGCACAAGGACAAACAAACAGGAGACACCACTCATAACAACACTGCTCGTCATGGTACCTTTAACACCACATTGATTATGTGGCCACTCAGCACCTCCAATTGACCTCTGTCAATATATCGTGTTGATTTAACTAATTTGTGAGGCTGTATTTAGTGCTGTTGTATTGAAAGGTATTTGTTGAAATCACCTCAAAATGATGATGATCACATCTCTTTGAAGTTTTGAAAACAAAAACTGAAGATAATAAGCTTCCAAAAGGTTAGATTTATTGCAGACTTGTTGCATTGGATTGCATTGACCTATAACAGGTTAAGCTCCAACTGGTAAATCAGTATATTGTGCCTCAGAATATCTGTGGTCATAATTTGACATGAATATTCTCCACGCAGCACCTGTAAAACAACAGAAGCTAATATTTGTGCTAATATTTTATCTTTTTCTCTCAGATTTCAGCTCCAACTGTCCCCTTCCTCTCTGAGCCCGGGGAGCGGTTTGAACTGAAGGGGAAGGCCTTTTCTTCTTCTTCTTCTTCTGCCCCACTCAGCTCGGACTCACCTACCTGTTATGTTTATACCTCAGACAAATTAAACTTCCTCTGAAAGCCCGGATTTTGAAAGGTACACTCAAATGTGTAAACTGACTCTTTAGAGCGACATTAAAGAATTAGTTCAACATTTTGGGAAATACACATTTTCACTGGTGGCTTCCTGTAGCCTCTGCCGGTTGCCTGGCAACTGGTCCCAGCAAAGAAATAGTCTGGCACAGGAGCCCCCCCATAAAACAGCGCATTGTGACTGTTTTTTTGTGGATAAAGAAACAAGTATAACGTTAAATAACAAGCTTTAGAGGGGCTCGTAGGACAGTGGGGCTAACTATTGCTTTATAGGGCCAGTGTGTAACATTTTAGAGGATCTAGAGGCACCAGATCTAGGGGGATATCTGGACCAGCAGCAAGGGTTACATGGGCTAGGGAGCATTGTGTAATATATATAAACAATATATAAACTATAGGTTGATAGAGAGATGACGAAAGTTAGCGTCTTGCTCATGCCAGAGCTTGTTTATTTCTGACACATTTACAAACGATTTCCAGTCACATTTTCAAGCTTCCTGATTTAAGTGCATGTCAAATTCTTACCAAATTCACAAATTAAACAACAAATGCTGTAACTAAACTACAATAAATAATATAAAACATTTTGTCTAAATTAAAACAAGTTTACATGAATTCAAAATAAAGGTAACACATTACAAATAAACAAAAATTGGCTTATCGTGAAAGATTTGTGTGTTTGTGTTTTTGTTTTGGTCTTATGTTTAAGTGGTCCTAAGGGAAAACAAGTGATGTTTTGGTGTATGTGTGTATTAAACAGTGCAGAAAGTATATGTAAAGGAAAGTAATAATAACATTATATTATATAAACATTATATAAACATTATAGATATATGAAGGAATAATTTACATTTAGTGGTGTAGTTGCAGATTGAAACCGTTTGAATACCACTAAGTCTTCCAAAGGTGCAGGAATCAGTTACAATGGTTGTGCATTTTGCAAATGAACATGAAATGCGCCTATCTTTTATCTAGTGTTTGGTTTCTCTTATTTGGACTACTGTAGTAACATGGTGGTTAAAGATGGCGGCCCCCTTGGAGGGAACTCTCCTGTAGTTAAAAACGGCTCATTCAAAGGTAACAAAAATGCAACAATTCCTATATTCAGGTGATTATACACGAATGAAAACACAACTATGACTATTATATTCCTTTTCTGCCAATACATCCTCCTTAATGTTACACACCAGACCTTCAAGTGACATTGGGTAAAAACATTATTTTGGGTGAGTTAAATATATAAGGGTAGTCTCATATGTCACATGTTTACAACAAAAGGTGTTTATCTGATTAAATTCCTATACCCACTTCTCTCAGGAACCGAATGGGGGTCAGTTCACGGACGGTAAAGTCACCTCCCACAGCACTTGAACGTACCACGGGTTTCCCAGTAGAAACGCCCTGATGGGTGGGTCCTAACAAAGCGCCCCAACTCCGGCAAAAGACACGAGAAAAAAACAGAATATATTATGTGAGATACACAACTCTGTGTCTCAATATTGTGCAATATCTTTAGTAAAGTAATCGATAAAACAAATCATGCGATCAGCTGATCGACGACGGTACACACGGGACTCCGGTTTGTGTTTCCAACCACGGCACGTTATGATGCTACTGTTGCTGTTGCTGGGTGCCTGTTTCTGTGTGGGTGAGTAAGACAAAAAAAAAACCAAAAACTAATATGAATCCTTCTTTTGCGGGACTGCATGAAGGTTTATGCTGTTTCCCAGAGTAAGAAGACTCAGTAATAAAATGCTCATAACATTAGTAGGTAGGTCCGTGTATGTTTTGGTCATTGGATTTTCCTTTCAGAAACGGGTATTAAAAAACAGAAAACGAGTGGTTATTTGATTTTCGTTTTAAAATACAAAAATTAATTCATTTTCTATTTCATATAATACAAAAATAAAATCACTAGAAAACAGAAACGGAAAAAAAAGCCTGTTTTTTCATATTCTGAGACCGGATGTTGTCATTTACAGGACGGTGCTGTGTTGAAGAAACAGTAGACTAGTAGACTGCGGTCAATCCAGCCGTGAGTTCGATCTCCGTGGTCAAATCAGCCGCACTTAAATTTAGAGTGTACAAGTATTCTCAGCATTATGGTAAATGCGGAGAAACAGCGTATTTACTTCCGGTTTTCAAAATAAAGGTATTTAGAGCCGTAAGCTGTTGTTGTTTGTTGTGGTTTAACTTCTCTATCGCCTCAATGCACCTCAATCGATTTTCGAACTTTTATCTGTCTGACTATAGTGAGAGACCACAAACTCCCACTGAAGGTTCCCAGGATGGTGACACAGACCCACAGAAAGAGAAATGACTGATTCACTCCACCTGCAAGATTTATTTGCATCAACACAGGATACAAGCAAAACCAAGTTGTCCCAGGATACAACTGACTACAACAAAGAATATCACTCTATTATATGCCTCTTTCCCAAGGGTGTCTATTGGTGACGTCTAATGTCTGATAAACAGTATTCATAACACATCTGATGCCCTACTCTCCCTAAGAAAGCCTTGGTCTTGTGCTTTAGCTCGTGGCACAATGAATAACAACTCTCCTAACTAGTGTGAGACAACCACAATGTGAATACATGAAGATGAACATACATGAACATAAAATATTATACTGTAAGCCTGTAACATTAAACATGGAATAACACAATATAGTTTGCTTCATGTTCACAGAACCTTATTCCTGAATGCATTTTCCAACTACAGTAACTTGTGCTGCAACAAAACGGAAACAGATTATATTTGTTATAATGTTGTACATCAATAATTTGTGCTGATAAGATCAATTTCCGGCGGGCATTTCACGTAATGAACACTTTTACTGCATATAGTACATTAAGCTAAAAAATACTTCTACTAGTAGTTCACCAGCAGTGTACAAAATGAGTTTTTAATGTAGGACTTACTTATAACAACCTTTACATTATTAACTAACATACAGATGCATGTTCAAATAGTTGAACTACATAATATATAGAAATAATAATAGAAAAACAATGCAAAAAAAAAAAGGTCTTTGTTGACGTTCACAAGATTTGCATTCAGTGTTTTTCTGTTGACTTCCTTTCTAGGCATCTCATATGACGAGGAGGACTATGGGGCCACACTCAGGATAAGGCTGTCCAGAAAGGCTGTGTCCCTGGAGTTCACCCAGATGTACGGCTCTGATGTGACAATCTTGTGGAAGCGTGATGACCCCCCAGCCCAAGAGGACCAAAGGAGGAAGGAGATGGGCAGCTACTTTGTGATATATAATTCAACCCAGAGAGACAGTGGCAGCTACAGAACAAAAGACAAACATGGGCTCATTTTATCTCGCACAAACATTAGGGTTGTAGGTGAGGATTCTTCTCAGTTCTCAATTGATCTAATTTCCTTTCTTTTCTTTCTTCTTTTTTGTCAAGACACTGTGGCTGTATAACTCTTCACTTGGTAGTTTGGACCTTTTAAGTGTGATATCATACCAACTGTAGGTAAAAATACTAAATAACATCAACTAAAAATGTCATGGTCCTACAGTTTTTTATACTGGTGCATGGCCTTATGGGTCAAGTGAATACTAACTAAGTAACTTAAATAACTCTAAAATGCATGATAGTCAACCTAAAAAGAAGACTGTATTTGATTTATTTTGAACTCTAAAGTCTTTATGACTTGTGATTTCACTTGAACTCTTTTGACTTGAAGATAATTGATATATTTCCCCAACCCAAAAGTTTTAAAAGTATGTTATTGAAAATAGGTGCCACAAATCAATTCATTTCAACTAACTTAAACTCTATTAATTCCCAGTAAGACGATGTTCAGTTCTACTTTGTTTGAACCGACCTGACAGCACCCAGTCAAGTTGCAGGAGAGAACCATAAAGAAATAACATTTCGTTACTGAGTGCCAATTTGTTCATTGTTTGTTTTGTTAAAATGGCACTTTATTTGGTGAAGAGCAGATTACGACTTGTTTTGGATTTGAAACTCAAGGTTTGGGACCTGGAACTTGACTTGGCACTTGAGATTTACTAGTGACTTACAAAATAATGACTTGGTCCCACCTCTGGTGTTTATAGTCAACATATCTGTAGTATGAACTGAATGTAGGATGAGAGTTTTATTTCTTCCCCACTGCTCCTCCATTCACTCTTCCATTGACCAGTCTGCTGAATTCATTGTAGTGTACCGATTGGCTCCCAGGTACATTGCTCAAACAGAGATTTCTTCAGTAAAGATAACAATGGAGGATGCTCCAATTTGTGCAAACCAACACACATAAGATGTTTTTGAATACTACTACTATGACTAAGATACAAATGTTTTGGAACGTGAGCATATGGATGGAAACTTATCTTCATTGAGGTCCAATGTACCTGACATGAATTTAAAGGAACAGTTCCCCATTTGTGGGAAAGTTGGTTATTCGCTTCCTGCTGAGAGTTAGATGAAATGATTGAAGCTGCTCTCTCATATCTGTACAGTTAATATGAAGATACAGGACACGGTTAGCTTAGCTTAGCACAAAGACTGGAAACAGGGCAAATGGCTAGCCTATCCAAAGGTAACAAAAATCCATTTACCAGCCCTGAAGTGTGATGACAAGCTGCAGTTTTAGTGGGAGTTTTATGCCGGACTAGATTAGGTGTTTCCACTTTCTGTGCCATGCTAAGCTAACCATCTGCTTTATAGTCACTGTACAAAAAGGAGTGAGGTATCTAACTCTCAGCAAGAAAATGAATAACCATATTTTTTATTAAAATGGTGGGCGATTCTTTTAGGACGATCACTAAGCCATGCCATGTGAAAGAAAAAACTAGAAACTCACACTAAGAACCAAGACTACACAGGTTGTTTGCTGCTCAAAAGAATTTGGGTGCACAATCACTTTAATATGCTCTGTCTTGTGTGTCCTCTCTTCCAGCAATAAAGAAGTTGTATGAACTGAAACCTGATAACGTGATCAAATTCCCCCTGGAACTAAACTCCTGCAACATTCGATTCTTCCAAGAATACGACGAAAGAGGGACTGAGATTGTTAAGCATGGTCGGCAGCTGGATTTCTATGACTCTGAATGCACAGGGTGGGAGATGATAAAGCCATGTAGCCTTGGAATAAAATACGCCCAAAAGGCATGCAGCGGGCGCTATCTGGGCGTAGATCAAAATGGCCATACAGCCTTAGAGGCGACACTGGAAGAGGAGTGTAAGTAACCTGTGTGTTTAAAATAAGTTTCAGATGACTGTTATTGATTACAGATTTACAGTCTGTCCTAGGGTGACCCAAGATACACATACATGATTAATCAATTATCCCAGTTTTTGTTGCCAATACATTTTTTTGACTAATCAAAATCATTGTTTCAGCAGCATCTTTTGATACATCTCCAATCGGTATTGGACTTGGTATTTTCTTCATTGTAACGGGCTGCTGTGGCTGCTTGAAGCACTGCTGCTGTGGAAAAAGCTCCTCCAAAAGTGACGAACCTGAGACTCCGGATGAGGAGCCTGCAGTGCAGCCCCGTCAGGTGAGAGCATTCTGCATTAAAGTTACCTGACACTCCTGTGTGTGTACATTGATATAAAGTTACATGTCCTGCTGTTGATACCATGTGCATATTGTGTTTCTGTTTAATTCGACCTGCAGTATGACCATAAGCCTGTTGGACCGAGCCGAGAACCACTGAGTCCTCCTGCTGAAACACACTACCCTGCTCACCCCTCTTATACTCCGACTGGTCCATTGGTTAGTGTGTGTTGCATTTCATAGAGAGAACTTCTCCTTTCTTGTATATTCGCTTCCCTGGCTTCTACTAATGTGTTATGTGTCACTTGACTCTGCAGATACACAATCCTCCTGCAGTGGATGCACCACCATCTTATTCTGAGGTATGACCTGTTGTTCATATCACAGATATTTACAGAACAAATTGGGATTTCTTAGTAGCTCGCCAGGGTGATGTTTGTGCTATTGTGTTTCTTTAGATTAAAGGTGCGATGTGGCGTATTGTGTGTGTATCCTTGAGGCCTAACACATGTGTTGGATGCATTTTTCTTCTTCAAAAAACATTTATATCTTATACTCCGACTGGTCCATTGGTTAGTGTGTGTTGCATTTCATAGAGAGAACTTCTCCTCCCTTGTTTATTCTCTTCCCTGGCTTCTACTAATGTGTTATGTGTCACTTGACTCTGCAGATACACAATCCTCCTGCAGTGGATGTACCGCCTCCGTCTTATTCTGAGGTATGACCTGTTGTTCATATCACAGATATTTACAGAACAAATTGGGATTTCTTAGTAGCTCTCCAGTGTGATGTTTGTGCTATTGTGTTTCTATAGATTAAAGGTGCGATGTGGCGTATTGTGTGTGTATCCTTGAGGCCTAACACATGTGTTGAATGCATTTTTCTTCCTCAAAAAACATTTGCAAAGCCAATTTTTGTTGTTGCATATTTGCCATCCATGTTCACTAGTTAGCACTCTTGCTTGCCTTTGCTGTTTGCCTTTGTCGATGCACGAGGACATACACTCATAACAACATTGCTCCTCATGGTACCTTTAACACCACATCTCTTTATGTGGCCACTCAGCACCTCCTGTTAGTGGTGTCACTCCATTTGTTGTATAGTTTTGTCTTTTTAATTATGCAAAACTAGAAGTAGAAAGTGAGTTTTGCTGTGAGTTTTCAATTGTTCCACCATCTGCCATTTTTTGGGGAACTCAGAAAGCGATGCGCTGCTTTTGTCCTGTGCTCTAAGCAAGGGCTGTCCTTTGGACTATAAAGCATTCCAATGATTTCTCATGATATCTGATCTAGCAGCACACAATGTAAAATACAACTTAAAATCCTCTAAACACCTGTTAATAAAAACAATCTTTCTATAAGGTTGATTTATTAGCTGTGATTTTTTTTGCTTCTGTGCAATTAAAGGACTTAAATTAATTAAAGGAAATAGAAAGTTTATTCTACTATTGCTGCGTTCTACTATTGTTCAGTTTTTTACGTCAATATATCAGAATGGTGTTTATTTAACAAAATTGTGAGGCTGTATTCAGTGTTATTGAATTGAAAGGTATTGTTGACCGGCTTTACATACGATGAGCATACTGTGTGGAAAAAAACACTTCTCAGTAAAATCACCACCACCTGCTACAGTCTCAAAAATATTCACATCTCTTTGAACCTTTAAAAACAAAAACTGAAGATAATAAGCTTCCAAAAGGTTAGATTTATTGCAGACTTGTTGCATTGGATTGCATTGACCTACTGGTAAATCAGTATATTGTGCCTCAAAATATCTGTGGTCATAATTCTCCACGTTGCACCTGTAAAACAACAGAAGCTAATATTTGTGCTAATATTTTATCTTTTTCTCTCAGGTTCCAGCTCCAACTGTCCCCTTCCTCTCTGAGCCCGGGGACCGGTTTGAACTGAAGGGGAAGGCCTTTTCTTCTTCTTCTTCTTCTTCTTCTGCCCCACTCAGCTCGGACTCACCTACCTGTTATGTTTATACCTCAGACAAATTAAACTTCCTCTGAAAGCCCGGATTTTGAAAGGTACATTCAAATGTGTAAACTCACTCTTTGGTGCAACGTTAGAAGAAATAGTTCAACATTTTGGGAAATACACATTTTCACTGGTGGCTTCCTGTAGCCTGTATTTCCCAGCAAAGAAATAGTCTGGCACAGAAGCCCCCCCCCCCACTAAACAGCTAATTGTGAGTGTTGTGTGTTTTTTTGTGGATAAAGAAAAAAGTATAACGTTAAATAACAAGCTTTAGAGGTGCTCGTAGGAGAGTGGCATCAATCTTTTCTATTATTCTTTTAACATTGACACAGTTTTTGTGGGACCTGCACGTCAACTCCTCACACAGCTACATCTGTTCTTCCAGATACTGCAATTTCCACAGTGTTTAACTGGGCCAAAGAGTGAAGACCATTTTTTGCATCTGAGTCAGTCCCATTTATTTCAGTTTTTTAGGGTCTTCTAAAGCTGCATGTGTCACTAACAGAGTATAAAACTTTGTATCCCAGGATCACAGGTTCAAAGCCATAGGCAAAAGGGAAATTTTCACTTAAAAACATGTACTTGAAATTGACAGTGCCTGCATTATGGACAGTAATGTTCTACCTCATGAGTCTCACTTAAATAGAGGTACAGGTTTTCATAGTACTGAGTGAATAACTTTCTCATCCATGCACTTCTGTCAGGGATGCAGCATGTTTTTCCAGACCAGCTTTACTTTTCAGGGAAGAAACAAAGACAAAGTAGCCTTATATCTGCAAACTCTCTGTATTTATATATTATATATATCTATATCTCTCTGTATTTAAAAATAGAAGACATTTCCCTTTCTGTTGGGATTGCTGTAGGTGTTTATATATACTGATACATAGCTAGTGTATTGTGGTGTAGATAAATGTTTTTTAAATAAGATTTATATTATATTGTGTAAAGATATCACGTGCACTGCTGGCCTTTTATTTGTGCATATTTTCAATGGTGGGTCGCACAATGGTATATAAATACCTCTGTGCTGCACTCATATCAATGCAAGTCTAAACTTGACGACAGCAGCAATGTGTTTCTTTCTCCATTTTATCACTCAAATATAGGAAATACTAAACACAACAGGAAGTTAAATATTTATTCCTTCAATAGATATCTGTTATTTAATTTAATTTAAATTGTTTATTTTTGCATGTCACAGAAATACGACATGATATTAGACATTTCTGTGAGCATCTGGTGTTTGTATGTTAGTGTATTTAGACCTTGTGTCAGGTGCATTAAAGCTAATAAAATCCTCCTGAATGATTTGTTTGTACTTGTTCCGCTGTCTTCACGTCTTCACAAACAACATAATTTACTAGTAATTCTGTGACACCGCTACAAGCACCACCCAGCCAACACGTCACCACACATGCAAAAGCTCATCCAAGCATGTAAATTCTTTCCCACCATACCAACTGGTTCACAGAGGGAAGTCAACTGAGGAGGAGTTAAAATACGGCGACACCTTTTGTGTGTTGTAAAGAAAAACTACAGAGCCGTAAATCTGTTTGTTGTATGAGACAATAACCAATTCTTTGCAGACACATTTGTTACCTTTAGATCCTGAAAACCTCTAATGGTTAATCACATAGGATTAAAGTGGATTCATGTCTGCAACGTGAATTTAAGATGTCTCTGTAAATGGAAACAAATGATAAACTTAACACCTTTAACACCATAAAAGAGAGAAAAAAACAACATTCAATAACATTTTGAAATCTATCTTTTAATCACGTAATCTCTAACCAGATTAAATTATAGATAGATTTGGGATCTAAGGTTAGATGTTATACAGGCACCTATTAATTTATTCAATGTAATTATGTTAAATCTGTTAGAATACCATAAGTTACATTACACCTTACATAAAAAAACGTTTTAAACACTATTACACACAGGTATTGAACGTTTTGTTTATGTTGAACTATGTTTTGTCTCCCCATTCTTGAGTCTTAATGTTCTTACCAAAGTGAAATGTTTCTGTATTTAACAAATCCATTAAAGGATCCTCTTTATTATTCTGTCTTGTATTCATTTGCTGCTTTAAAATCAAAGGTGCCATTTAAACACATATTCTGTGCGACTGCGACCTTCTCATATTAGGCATTTATAAGATTATCATCAAGTAATCCTTTTTCTAATACATTCAGGTCTAAAATCCCATGATCATCGCTCTCTATCTTTGTATCTGTGATGATGCAGAGAGATGGTGACACAATGAGTCCTCACAGTTAGCTTCACTGTGGATTCTTATCTGGCCCACTTGGCACTCCACCACAGCAAAGTGTAGGAGGGAAGAGAGTTTTGCTGCTGCAGAGTGAGCTAACTAACAGGAGTGATAATTCTGGCACCAGGGTCAGGTTGTTCCACTCGGTTGGAGTGGCAGTGGGGGTGAAGATTGTTGGTGTGAACCCGGAGGATCAAAAAAGCTTCCAGCTGACTGAGCAGCAGGGAACCAATCAGGCTCAGGGGACTGAAGAGACGGTCAACAGGTCAGCTATAAGCCTTGTTTATCTACAGATGCTGCCGGTCGCTTTCCATGGAGGACGTAATTTCTCTACAGTAGCCCAGAACGTACAAACCAAAAACGGGCAAGGGAGTTGTGATCTGCAATTACACCACTAGATGCCACTAAATCCTACTTTAATCATTAGACCATTACATTTCATACTGACATTTGGCACCCAGAGGATACATCCTAATGACTTTTTATTTAAAGCCACCATCAGATCAAACTTTGTCTAATACTTTAGAATTATTTCCATGCAGAAACTAATGACATTCCCATCCCATAGTACTAATTAGCAAATGTTACCATGTTGAAATACTAAACTAAGATTGTGAACATGGTAAACATTATACCTGCTAATGTTAGCATTGTACCTGTGAGGATATTAGAAGTGCAATTGTGGAAAGGTTTTAACAGAAAGAAGAGAGTTTTCAGTCTGACTTGTGAATCATCTGTGCACACTAGTCTTACTATTGCAGCCTTTCAATATCTTTGTGTGTTTATCCTTGTAAAAGTATTCTGTGTGGGCAAAGGCAAACACAAAAAGAGCATTTCTGATTAAAAATCCCAGAGACTTTATTTCCCATGATAGTTTGACACACATATAGAAACCATCAATTTTAACTATTTTCTTAACCGACATTAACCTTTGTCCATCTTAACTCCTTTCCCCTCCACCCTCTCCGGTCACTATTCCCCTTTCCTCTTCTCTACTGCTTTCAGCCGGCCCTCCAGGCTGCTCAGCCGGTTGTCCACTACACAAGTCTTTTCAGAGCCCGAAGTGAGCAGAGTCAACAGGACGCATCCCAGCACCAGGCCGCCCAGTCGAACCGCCGTGGTGTCCGCAGTGGCAGTCTTGTCGGTCACAATCAGTCCGAAAAGCCAGAGCGACAAGACGGTTTTCACCACCCAGAACACTCGCCTCACCACGCAGATGAACAGACGGAGAACAATGGTCAGCACCCAGTAGCCAATCAGGGCCACCAGACCCCACTTGGCAATGGCGGTCACGCCCTCTGGAGTGAAGCGCGGCAACGTCAGTGCAACTGCGGAAGGAGGAAATCCAGCTTAGGCATATTTTAATGAAGAATAAAAGCTTTCTGTAACACAGGAAGCCACAGAGGTAAACACACACATTTAAAAAGGAGTGGCAGACAAATTGCCCGAAGGAGAGGCAAGGCTGCATATTTTCACTCGCACTTTTATTGCCACAGATTCTTTCTTCAGCAGACAGTTTGCAGTGAGCTACACAAAAGCAAGGCAGTGAAGCCTAAACACAGTCAGTAGCTCAGTCACACACACACAGGCCATCCTAGTACCCACCGTCGAATCCTGTGACCCTGAGGATCTCTGTGACATAAACAGCGATGACGTTCAGGCCGCTGGCAGCTCCTTCAGCCAGGAATCGAATCACCATCTCTAAAAACTGTGGTCGGGTGGAGGGAGGGAGGAGGGTGGAGACATGTTTTTACTTAACACAGTAAAAATGAAGAGAGACAACATTCTGATCACATTAATAACCATGCAGTGAAGACATACAGATCCGTTTACTAAAAACAGAGCTAACCTAGATGTATCCTCATAGCTCTAAATGCACAGGTTCATATAAACAGCAAGACTGATATTCACAGCACCTTAAGATAGAAGAAGTGCTGTATTGTTGACTTGGACAAACAGCTGTGCATGCAAGTGACAGCTGGACAGTGCCCCTCTCTATTCCTGTACAGTCTCTGCGCACCCCCCCCCCAAAATCACAAACACACACACACACACATATATATACACAGTGCAGCCTCGTCAAGCGAGGTCAAGGGTAGCTCAGTAAGCTGGACGAGTATCTTATCTGCACCTGTTGCTCTACACACTGGCACATACGTGAGGACTGTCCAGCATGTCAGAGCAAGAGTCAAGCATCTGTCACTCCATGTCAATGTGTGTAAATCACTCGAAAACACACTTAATCATTTACTGCTCTGTGGTATTATGAGGCTCAGTTTCCCGAACCAACACACTTCAAGGTTTTAATGAAGACTGATCAGTTAATGCCAACAGTCTGGTGTAGCCACAGACCTTTTATAAAAGGTGTGATGCAGCCTGTAAAAGGTAGTTAAAATGGTGTAAGTTTCAGCTCTTTGTTTTCAACAAAGAAAAAGCTGAACATACAAATTGCATTGTGTCTTTCTGTGAGCTTCGAACAGACAATACTGTACTTTCTTTTAGTTTACCTGCAATCTCATATTAATGCATAAAAGCTGACTTGAGGATTACATGTGTGCAGTGTGCAGAGCATGCACATCTTAAAAAAAAAAAACTGAAGGCAAAAGTTAGACAAAGGATATCTGCACATTGTACTCATAGCTCCCACTATATTTACAAAGCAACGTTATCAAGCAATGCCTGTCAAAGAAATGTTGTGTTACATTAAAGTTAACTGATGACCTTTAAGTGCCGTGTGCAGATCTTGTGTTTAACTTTTGGCTTAAGGTTATCTGATTTTAAACTGGGTTTTCTATCTGGGATACGGCTCCATTTCAATTCGGGCACTCATTAAAAGTCTATTTCTCATCCATGGATCATGTACACACCCTATATTTTCCATCAGAGATACCAACTGAGTCATGTTGAACAGTTTCAGCCTACTTACCAACACAGCATCTTATCACTACAAGCGGGCCTATATTGTGGCCTCTCATGCAAATATCACTGTACAGAAACACACGTATGGCAACAGTCATGCTCGTACTCACTGCACTAACTACAGGGTGACATGAGCTAAACAGAGCCACATGAGAGGACTCTGTTTAAGGGACCATGTCAGCCGGGGGCAGGCTATATGGAGACGCCCAGGAGGTTTCTTACCATGGCCACTGTATAGATGTTCTCCTGACCAAGCAAAGACTCAAGAAACAACACTGCACTCTGGGGAAAAGGGAGCCGCAGCAGGGTTGGAAGCAGGGAGACAGAAAAGTGTGAGGGGTGTGTGTGTGTGTGGGGGTGAGAGAGGGGGGATGCATGGATATAAGAAGACATGAAATGAGGGCAGAGAAGATGAGGGGATCAGGGAGGGAGATTAACAAGTTGAGGAGCAAGGGGGAAGAGGAATGTGTGTAAAGGGTGAGGAAATGGATGGAGAGAGATGACAGGAGTTGGAGTTTAAAAATTAGTGATCAGGTACAGTTATTGATCAATAATAGTGACACAGTGAAGTTAGAGCAAACACCTAGTAGCCTACAACAGGATAGATATTAAGAATAAAAGAGGAAAGTGTAGAGCCAGTTCCTGGTGCAGGGAGAGAGAGAAACAGTCGGGTATCAACCGGTGGTGCACCTCCTCTCTGTACCTCAGCAGCTGACCGTATCACGCCGCTTCCCACCACCGACTCCGCGTAATGCTGGACCTCCTGGCAGGTTCCGGTGATCAGAGTATGGAGGGTGACAGGTGGTGGGCTTCCCGCGGTCTGATCGGCCTGCTCAGCTCCAGCCCAGCCCACCGACGACCCGAGCACCAACACACAGATGGAGAGGAATACCAGAGCCATGGCACATCCACCGCGCCCAGAGTCAGACGCACAAAAAGTCATTGTTGGAGAGACAATCGTGTTTAAAAAAAAAAAAGAAAAAAAATGTATGTGCACAGGTTAACGCTGCAGAGCCGGAGCCGGTTGAGCAGCTCGTGTTCAGAGACTCAAAAACAAGCTTGTAAATCAAAGACTTAAAAATGGCTTCTGTTGAGAGCAGTCATTGGCTACGGAGCGGTTTTAAATCAACATGCTTCAGTTCACAATGGGCAGAAAAATATGACCGCGGTCAGCTTCTCGCTTCTTCTTATCCAACTTGTAAATTAGACTAAAATTATCAGGCAAAAAAACAACAACAAGCAAACCCCAAAACAACCCAATGACTCAAAACAATCTGAGTATTTAATTATAAACTTTGGCAGCGCCTCCAATAGCCAATCTAGGCTCGCTCCGCTCCGGCATTAACAGTGGCTATATTTGGTAAGAAACTGTTAAAGGCTTACATCCAGCGGTGGTCGAGATATCTGATCATCAATGAAAATGCAGCAAGGAAGTTAATAAAAAAAACACAAGATGTCAGAAATGTGTCCCCTAAGTTTGTTTGCAGCGTAAAAAGAAAAAACGTTAAAATAAAAAACGCGCTGACGTTGTGAGCCGACCACGAGCCTCCTAAAGCCTCTTATTTTTGAGCTCCACACCACTCAAGTGTTTGGTTCCTTTGTCCCCGAGGCTTGCATCAAACGCACTGCTGCGATGGATTATATTGCACAACCCTTTTTTTTTTTAAAGAAAACTCCCTTGTCGATGTTCCCGCATGACGCTCCCTTCCTTCCAGCGTTTGTAACGACAGTTTCCACTATGCAAACACGTCCACACCGGAGAGAGGGGGAGGAGGGAGAGAGTGGAGGAGAGAGGAGAGAGGAGGAGGGGGGAGGAAGGCGCTCTGCACACGGATAAACAGAGATTTGCACACTGGGACTTGTGGTTTCATCTTGCAGGTCAAATGTTAAAGAAATTCACAGGGTTTGATTAAAAAAAAAGGTGAAATGGAAGCAGAAACTGGACACTTTTAGTCAGTTTAATAACTAGTACAACAGCAATTACACAGCATCGAGTCAGAGGTTTTTTTTTTTGAGATTTTGTAGAGAAGAGGCAGATTTCAAATAAAAAAATGAAAAAAAAGTAATGACATACATTATGTACATACACACCGATGTTACACAAACATCCGCTACACTGGGAAGAATCTTGTTTTCTTGATGCACTAATCTTTGTCTTTGTATATTGGTTTGTGTAGTTGCTTGTTTTCATACACGCGCGCACACATACATACACACACCCACAAACACAAGAAATTGTCTGTGATGCAAACACGCAGAATCTCATTCCCTACATTCTTCCTGCACCAATATCAGAAAAAAACGCAGTAAAGTAGTGGATACTGGATGGGAGAAGCTCAATTCAGTCATTGTTTAAAAGCGTTCAGTTCAGAGCATCACTGCGGCCCTACGAGGCTGGCATCATCGAGAGATATCACACTGATAGTGCCCTGTATTCACAGGAGGAGGAAGAGGAGGAGAAGGAGTACATGTTCAGAGAGGCGAGTCTAGCTCCCGGCAGTATTCGTACTACTGCTTATCTTGCTGACCCCTTTTCCTCGCCAGTATACGTGGGCAAACCGCAGCTTTAGCCGATGTAAATGCGGTGGAAGTCGTTTGCTCCGAAGGCGGCGTTGCACTTGGGGCACTTCCTCTGACGTGTGTCGTAGCGTGTCTTAACGCACTCGAAGCAGAAGACGTGGAAGCACTTTGTCAGCACCGCATCCTTCACCCGAGAGTTGCAGCACGGACACGTTAAACGTGCCTGAGGGGGAAGAGAGAGAGAGAAAAAGAGAGGGGAGGGGAAGGGAATGGATTGAACAATAAACTGAGAAGCCATTTTTGTCATGTGCACAAACATCTTCCAAGGTCAACTGTCCTTAACCGGGACTACTGATGTCAGGAAGACACCACATGATATAAAGGCTAATTATAACCCCGCTGGGACTATGATTGATTATCAAGACGAAGGACAGTACAGAGAATAGCTGACACACAGATCTGGTGGTATGGCAGGCGTATAATCAGAGCATTCAGACCCTTCATCATTATATCAAACCACTTACAGGTTTATGACTCAATCTGATTAGAGCCAGTTAGATTTTAGTAGCTGAAACAGAAACTACACTGACTACAATTGTCATTTTAATGTGTGATGTTGAGTCTTCGCACAGTTGGTCGGAATTTTAAACGTTTTTGTGCGTTCCCGTCAAAAGAGTGTGATCACGCTGACAGCTGGTCTCTTTTGGTGGAAACCGGAGAGATAAAGATTACTGTGGTTCATTCAATAAAACTGCCCACTTACAAGACAAACAGAGCCTCAAGAGTCCCACCAACCTGTGTGTTCAGAACTTAGCTGTTCTAGAGAGTTAGAACATTAATACCACTGTTATGTATTTACGGTAAATATGATGTTACAGCCGACAACAGTCCAGCATATAATGTCCCATAAAATGTCAATTGGTTGTTTTTATATTAATACAAATTAAACAATAAGAGATAACATTAACATGTTAATTAGTGAGTGCTCGTACATACATAACTTTCAGACAACAGAGCCAGACAAGCCATTTCCCTCTGCTTCCACTCTTTGTGCTAAGCTAAGCAGCTGTTGCCTGTAACTTCACATTTAGTATATGACATAAGAGAGGCACAAATCTTCGCATCTAACTCAGAATAAGTGAAAACAGGTTGTTTTCAATATATTTTCTGTCACAGAAACCAACCTTATAGTCATTGATTTCTTCATTTAGGATGTCATCTCCATTGCTGATTTTCTCTGCTGGTTTCTTGGCCTTCTCGATCTTTCTCCTGAGTTTGGAGATGTCCTCCTGAAACACATAGTTAACAGCTGTAGGTAAAAAGAGTCTGTGTTCCATATGTTACTTTCATTTGACAAGAGATGGTATGAATGCAATGCTCTTTAGAGGTCAATATGAGCAATTAGAGCTTTCCACCATCACGTGAATGCACAACACGAAAACAACAAAATTGAAACTGGCAACAACTATTTAGCCTTAATACAGCGAGGAAGAAAACAGAGGGTTTTAATGCATAAATCTAATTTGTCATTTGAAAACATGCAGTTGCACTGAGCTCCTCCCTTCCTCTCTCTTTCTGCACTCATTCATGTCCTATTATTGCATGTTACTAACTTCACTTTTTCCCCGGAGTTCTTGTGCTTTCTCGTCTCACAGGTTCTTGTCGATCCTGGTGGAGCCTCCTGCCATGGTCCTGCTAGATTGCCATTGCCAATACTGTTGTTGCTGTGCACCTGTCTGTCTGTCTGTCTCTCGCTCTCTCTCTCTCTCTCTCTCACCCCAACTGGTCGAGACAGACGACCACCCACCTAGAGCCGGAGGATCTGTCCTAGGTTTCTGCCTTTTAACAGGCAGTTTTTCCTTGCCCTTGTCGCCAAGTGCTTGCTCATGGTGGTACTGTTGGGTCTCTGTAATTAATGTTTTAAAGAGTTCGGTCTAGACCTGCTCTATTTGAAAAGTGTCCTGAGATAACATCTGTTATGAATTGGCGCTATACAAATAAAATTGAATTGAATTGAAATTTTATTAAAGAGTCTTATGACAGTCAGAAAATAATAATTTGTTCTTCCTCTGTTGACTACAATAAGCTTAAATGCATCTTGTTTTTGGTCAATCTGACCAATGTTTGATCAATGTTTACTGCTTATATAATTTTTCACGTGTGTTGTGTTGTTACCTGTGCTCGTCGGGCGTTAAAGGACTCCTTCTCCCTGGAGATGCTGTTCTCGACGACTTCCTCTCTGACCAGGTTGAGCCTCTGCTGAACCTGCTCCAGCTGAGTGCGCACCTCCTCCGACAGCAACGCAGAGTCCTGAGCCTGCCGGACGAACAAAGAGATGTTTTTATTTTACGTCAATGGGAATGTTATTCCTACTCATACTGTACAATCCTTTATGTATATACAGTATAGTGTGTGAATATATGTTTAGGATGTGCATATGTTAATGTCATTAGAGCTGTGTTACCTTGCGTTTGTTCATGTCCAAAGCTTGTGTTCGAAGTGCCAACTCTCTCTCAGCAGTGCTGATGGTGCCCTGCAGGAGGCGCTCCTTTTCCTCAAGCTTCCTCACCACCTGCAGCTGGGCATCGACCTGACAAATGGCCACAATCCCAAAAAGTTATAATAGCAAACAAAGATTGACAAAAAGTCCATTAGTGATAGAAGACAAATGTGACATTTTGAATAAAAAACAAGAAATTGGGCAAACAGATAGAAGCAGACACACGAAAGAGTAATAGGGAAAAGCAGTTTGTACAATATGTGCACTTTTTTAAACTTTTATTTGTTTAGTGACAAGCTAAAATGGTTGTTTGTTGAATATAATCAGTAGGGCAATGGAAACAAAAGTAAGAAACCACTGCAGATGGTTTTCACTACAATTCAATTGAACTGCGTGTTCCTCTGCAGTCGTTTCTATGGTTTTGTATGCCACAAAACCAGCAGGTACAAACCCCTATTCTCGAAGATGGCACCTTACAGTGTCGCCAGGTGGCTCACCTGAGTTTTTAAAGTGAGTAGTTGGTCGGCCAGCTCCTCCTTCTCCTCTTTTAGCAGCTTGTGGATCTGGTTGGACTTGATCCGCTCGCTCATCAGCTTAAAGTTGGCATCGTCTTTTTCTCTGAGCTGCTGCATCAGACGGATATTCTGTTCCTGCATGTCCTCGAAGGCCTGGCCTGTCACATCCATCTCACTCAGCAGCGCGTCCTCCTCCTGCAGGGGGAGCGCGGAGGTGACACAGTGTCAGAGAGTGAAAGGACGCTTTGTTTGTGCGTAAAGACTAAATGAGTAGCTCACACACCTGTTTTGCTATGGAGAGTTTCTTGTTGAGGATGTCGATCTGCTCCTCCACAGAGCGGATCTTCCTCAGAGCTTCTTCATCTGCCATTTTCTTGCCCTCCCTCCTCTCCCTCTCCTCCAGCTCCCTCAGCCTCTGTCGCAGCTCCTCTCCCTGGAATCAATTATAAACTGTAATTCTTGGAAACTTCTACAGGAAACAGATGCTTAACTTTGTCAAATTATACATACAGTACATTCTGCTTCTGAACACCCACTGGGTTAACGTGTGTGTGTGTGTGTGTGTGTGTGTGTGTGTGTGTGTGTAACTGCGTGTAGGTGACTGTTCAACAGTGTGCCGCGTTGATCACCTCTGATTTCGACTTCTTCTCCGCAGCCATGAGCTGGACTTTGTCCCTCTGCTCCTTTGGTGCTGAGCGGTACATGTCCAGCAGCAGCTTCATCTCCCTCTGGGACTCCTGGGCTTTCCTGCAGAGTCAAAGCAAGAACAAAATGATCAGAATCACCCAAAATCATAAAATCCACCACGCAGGGTCAGAAATCAATAAAGGCTTTGCATAAATCATGCTGCAGACAATTATTATGGAATGGTATGGGTGTCATTGTACACAACAGCCTGAACTTGATCCACAGAAACCATAGCATCAACAAAAACAGACCAAAGGAGTTGCTGAACATGTCTCAACCAACTTTGGTGTGAGAAGTATATTATGATTTCAATAGGAAAAACAGGCGTGGTTTAACGCTAGGTGTATAAGAAGTGACCGTTAAAAAACAACAACGGTGGCTGCAAAGAAGTTAGCATCGATGCTGCTGGCATCACATCAGAGGTGGAGAGTATTTCTTCATTGACAGAAGAGCAAAAAACCTCACTGACACAAATGACGACTTCCCCAATTGTTCTGTGTAACAAACCATCTGGTGCAGTCGGGTAAGAAAATCAGCATTATCTGAAATAAAAACTAACTTCCACACATGCTACTTACTTGAGTTCTGTTCGGACAATCTTCAGCTGCTCAATCTCCTTCCTCTTTGACCCTCCGACCATAGACAGGCGCTCCCCAGCCGACTCCTCAGGTTGGCTGCTGCTTCCCGGCTTCTCCTTCTCTTCCTTTATCACACTGCTGCTCCCGCCACCGCGGGTCGGCCTCTCTCTCTCCTTTTCCTTCTCTTTCTCCCGCTCTCTGTCTTTCTCCTCTTTCTTTATAATGTCCTTATCTTTCTTTTCCTCCTTCTCTTTTTTCTCCTCTTTCTCCTCCTCTTTTACTGTCGCCTCAGTTTCTACTCCAGGCTCTGTTTTCACAGAAGCTCCTAAAGAAAGAACATAAAACAATGTGAAGACGGTTTCAAACAGGACAGTACTAATATGTATCACAGTGAAATCAGTAAAAAGCTGTTTTAGGTTTTTATATTTCTAAACAAAAGGGAACAAACATGTCATAGTCAGTCAACTAGACGTTTATTACCGGTGCTGCTCGGTGTGGAGGAGCCGTTGTCAGGCTCTGTCTTGATCACAGGTTCCCCAGAGACGGCCGGGGTGGACGGAGAGGTTGTCTCATCTTTCACGTCCATCTCTGTGCTCGACTGGGATTGGAGGATGGCGTTGCCCTTTGAGGCGCGGACCTGCAGAGGCAACAGATGAATGTGTTTCAGTGCAATGTGCAGTTGTGTTCTTTTTTATTAACCCTATAGGTAAAAGTGAACCATTTCATTTCTTTTGATGGTGAGAGGTGACAATTTCTCTTTGTCTCCTTCTGACCTACCTGGTTGAGCTCAGCTTGTGTTTCTCTCAGTCTGATCTTGTATTTCACCACCTCTCCCTTCATCTGCTGATTGTGGGTTTGCAGTGTGCTGATGAGGTGACGCATCTCCCTGTTGATGGGACCTGAGCGAAAGAGAGAAAAAACAGAAGAACAAGAGATGAAGGCTGGCTATCTTAGTAGTATTGCCTTTTCAACAAAATTCATGCACCTCGTTCATGTTTTAAGCCAGGACCTGTTGGTTACCTGCTTGTTCGTTGGCAGCAAGAGTCTGTTCAAATTCGATGCGCAACATCTCATACTCCTTCCTGACCTGAGCCAGCGTGTCCTCCAGCTGAAACACCTCTGTACGAACTTTCCTCTGCAGAGCCACTTCATCATTCTGCACGCAGAGGGGATGAGAGTAAGAAAGAGGGAGAAAGATCACACAGACAGACACCAACACACACAGACAGACACCAACACAGACAGACACTAACACACACACACACACTAACCTCCATGTGCTCTAGCTGTCGAAGCCTTGCCGTCCTGGTAGTGTTGAGACGAGCACGGGTTTCATCTAACTGAGACTTGAGGATCAGAGACTCATTGTAGAGCACAGAAAACTGCGACTGCAGACAGCGATACTCAGACGTCTCTTTTACCATGCCCTCTGCTCGATTCAGCAGCTCCGTCTGAGAGGGACAGAGGAAAAGAAGGAAGTCCTACGGTTTAATTTAGCTTTAATACTTTCAATAGATTAATGGGCCATTTCCAAATTAAAAGTCCACCTTCATGCTGTTGTTCTCCTGGTGCACATTCTGCAGGTCCTGCTGAAGCTTCTGCAGCTCAATGAGGCGGTTGTCTGCCAGCTCCCTGCTCTCCTCCATCTCACTGTTCATTTCTTCAAACTTTGAATAAGAAAATTGTCAACAGGTATGAAAAGCTAGTTGTAGGAAAAAACAAAATTAAGATTTTGTTATGATCTCTCACTTCACTCTAAAAAATACCAACCTTTCTCTTGTTAATCGTGATGGTGCCACAAACGCTGCTGGCCTCCCCACACACCTTATAGCCTTTGCTGTTCACCTGGGATGCATTACAGGGAGTGTTACAACATACTTCAGTATAAACATCGAAACATTTGCGCAACACTGTTGCATAGAAATGAGACATACAGACGCATAGAGAAGACATCCTCACCCTCTCCAGTATCTCGATCAGGTGCGCATTCAGTCTGTTCTCTCGACGACGGATCTTCTCCATGTCCCACTGGAGCTCCTCGATGAGAACTTGCAGCTCGCTGACGCGCTGGTCTGCTTTGTTAGCTGCTCGACCCAGAGGCCGGGACTGGATAAGACAGGAATACAGAGACTTGACACCGCGCACACACAAGAGTTAAGAGAAACATTATGCTTCTTAAGATATTACTCTTTTTTCTTTTTTAAAAAAACAAATGAACAATCATAACGTACTTTACATAGTGAGCTACAGTGTGATAATGCTTTTGGTTTAATATATAAAGACTTGTTGTGCAAATACAAAACAGCCACCAATTAGATAGAAAGTCAGAAAGGAGTGCAGTAGACACAGCAATTCTCAAGACTTACACATTTACATGCATTTATAACAGTTAAAGGACGGTTATATCTGAGAAATAACATATATAGAATAAGGAAGGAAGGTTTGTACCTCGCTTGTCATGTGACTGTGCTTCTGCTTGAGGTCCTCAGTCAGCTGTTGCAATCGCTCGTTTTCACTGGTCAGGAGGGAGTTCAGTCTGGAAGCTGCCTTCCATAAAGTGCCCTCTGGAAAGAAAAGCAACAATAATAAACACAAAAACAACTCCCACATAAACTGATTTGATGAATTTCACCCTCAGCTGTGCTCTATATCTGGAATTTCATCATGTCTCCCTCCGTTTTATCTCACCGGCTCCAGAGTCCAGCTCTGCCTTTAGTTGGTCCACGGTGCTCTTCAGACACTCATAGATCTCCACCACATGATTAGCCTGCTTCTGGCTGGACTCGACCCTCTCCTGCAACTCAGCCTCCATCTCCTCGCTGCTGCTGCTCGCCAGCGTGGCCAGGAAGGAGTTGGCCGCCTCTCCCTGTTGGCCTGTGCGAGAACAGCAGGGAAAGAGGTCTGTGATCTCTGGGTTGTTGTTCAAATCTCTACGTTTTCGCTCTGTGTCAGCTCCAACTTTACCTCTGTCCTTGGCCCTCTCCTGGTTGGAGTCGCCATCAGGCTCTGGAGTTTCCGGCTTGAGGCTCCGTCCCTCACCCGCCACAGATTTATCAGGTTCGCAGCTTGCTTGGTCATAACGCCTGATGGTCAGTTTAATGTTTTCATCAAACTGAGGGAGAGAGAACAGGATCCCATTTCAGCTCTTTGATCTTTACAGGAGAGTAGAAGTTGTACAAGCAATGTTTACTTTTGCTTCTTTGTCTGAATTTGTTTACCTGATTCCAGTATCTATTGAGGATCAGCAAACTGGCGTCATCGGTGGCTTGCCGGGTCTCCAGTCTCTCAATTCGCTCTCGCAATTCATCCTCAATCACCTGCAAACCAACAAACCAAACAGGATGAACCTTTCTCCAAACAAGAGAGCACACACCCGTAGCTTCCTCTATGTGTGTGTGTGTGTGTGTATGTTAGTTAACAACAATAATATGGAAGAGTTCATTTACCTGTCTTTGATCGAGAGACTCTCCCAGCTTTCGGTTCTTAGTCTGAAGAGCTCTGATATCTTGTTCTTCCTGAAAAATAATTCAAAACATGAGCACAAAATGAATGACACTTTACACTCCTGAGGTTAAACATATACGTGTATTTGCAGTAAAGGTGTGTGGGGGGGGGGGGCTCACTGAGTTGGACACTCCTCCCAGTTTGATGACTGTCTCCACCGCCGTGCTCCCCCCGGCAGCGGCGCTGACACCGGGTCCTCCATCCTCTCCTTCCCTCTCCCTCCGCTTCTCTGGGGGCGCACCGGAGGACGAGGAACCGCTGGGGTCAGCAGGACGCTTCTGTCCCGACATCCTCAGACTCCTGAAACAAACAGAGGCAGAACAATACACAACTGAGACCAACACAAACAGAAAACGTGGAGGAGCGGTTCAGATGGTTCCGCTCAATGAACCACAACGCTGTGTTGTTACATGTAGCTAGCTGACACCAGATTGTCCAAGATAACCGCCTTCACGTTTACTCTGAAACCTCACTCCTCTATCTAAGTGACGAGCAGTCCAAACACATGCACATAAAAGTGATTTATCTCATTATAAACCCCGAACAAGCTGATTAAATCAGGCAATGTAACGTCAGGCTAACGTTAGCCGTTTGCTAACGTCAACTTTAAAACGCTGCGCATGCTCAGACGACCTCGGCTCTGAGCCGGCGGATCGATGCATTTACTTTAACATATTGTCAATATCACTCCCGGCTAATCGAAGTCTTACCGCTTTTAATAATAAGAGTTTAATAAGGAACTAAATTTGTCTGTGGCTGTTGTTGTTGCGGCTCCTCGCCTCTCGGAAACGGAAGTGTTAATGAGCTCAGTGGGACCACCTTCAGCGGACACCGCGCCCCCTAGCGGCGTGGAGGAGATTATAAAACTCTCTGCAACATTTATTCACTCTGAGGCCCCAAGTGGCAAAAAAACAACAACAACTTTTCCATGAAGTGGAATGCACACAGCTAATTATATATGTTATATTCATTATATAAAGCACAGAGACAGAAACCAACCAGTACGTCTACACAGGAATACACCGCGGCCGAGGTTTACTGCACAGATAGTGTGTGGTGATTCGATGAGGGTCACAAGATTACATAACAGTTACAGCCACTTTGATTTAATTTACCCTGTTAGTGACTAAGCCCTGTATATTAAATGCAGTTTAATGATATGGAATTAAATAAGGAATTACTTTGTTTAGCTTCAGAGGGCTGCATTAAGGGATCTTAGCTGACACCAGTGAACAGGGCACTGAAGGCCGATGTGTTTTCAACTAGTGTCACAAAGTCCCCTCTAGCCCTTTTCTCTTTTTAAGCATCTCCAGATACATGCTGAGCGACCCCTGACTGGAGTTTTTGGTGACTTTGTGTTTCAAACGTTGTGTTACAACCCACAAAAGTGAAAATCCCTTTAGATATATTATTACAGCCATTTCTAATGCACATGGCTGATTTCCCTTTATTTAAACTGCTGAGACAAGCTTCACTTGGCTTCACAGTGGAAATACTTTGTGTTGCTGCAGTGTTTGATTGCAACTCCCACAAATCCATGAATCTATTAGAGTTGCAGTGTTTTCTTTTTATATTGTAGCAATTATCTGGCAACCAAAACAACAAAACCAACATTCCTCTGGTGCTATCTTTTTTTTAATTTAGTTCACATACTTGTGAGGGTAAGAAAACGTGTCTCGACAACATTTCGCACTCCTCTGAAACTCTTTTCCTCAGTCAGACATTGTGTAAAAAGGAACTCGTGGACAGAGACAGAACTCTGATAAGCAATATTAAAATGTACATTGCACAGTGCAGAGTCCAGGTTGTGTAAAAGCAGGCTTGTCATTATTTGTGAGTTACAGATCTACCCTCTGTTCAAATACCCCGATCTGCTGAGGTCACTCATGGATTGGTGAGAGCATTACAAACAACCCCTGCATGTTCATTTGGGCCATTCTCAGCAATCGATATGGGAACTGTTCATGAATGACGTGCTTGAAAAGCTATGTGACGCAAAAAGGCAGATACACAAGGTTGCATTAAAAAAAGTAGATTTTGCTGTGGTAACTGTTGGCATATTTGTGCCCAATGCAAGAACTAAGCTTAGACTGGGTTCTACACTGGTGTGATTACACTATGTAGAAAATAGCACTCCCTAAATTTACATTAAACATGACAGTGAATTAATTATAATGACATAAAGTAAAAGTTAATAAACGTTTCTGCTGTAAAATGTGGACAGACCTTACAGCAGAAGTTGCATTTCTTGTTGAAAATTGAGGTTTGAGGTTTAAATCTAATTAATAATGAAAATCCATGTGCAGGGCTTTAAAAAACAAATGAACACTGTACAAAATATATATTACGATGTAAAAAAAAATTACAGTTTGTGTTCTGCAAGAGGACCTTTATATCTGATGTTGGGAAAGATGAAGATTAGATCCTATCGTATCCTGTAATCTACACTTTCAGGACAAAGAAACAAACCTGATTTGCAGCATTGCAGCAGGCCTCTCACATTGCAGTTCATCATTTTCTTACAGTGAGGCAACAGTGACAGAAAGATGGAGGTGGGGCTGCGTGAGGACGGTGTGATGCGTGCCTGTATGCATTCAATTTTATTAACTCGTTCAGGCGACACACGGTGTTCCCTACTTGTTTTCAACTCCTCGGTCCAGGTTCTGACATGAGCCTAAAGTCCACAAAGGCGCATTGATGCAATAAAGCTCACAAAAGGCCGCCCCTGTCTGTCTGTCCGGGCCAATTGCGTTACCGGGGAGACTCACGCCCCGCCACATCACGGGCACCTCCTCCGCAGCACCGATCAGACCATAAATACAGCTTTGTGCACAGTGTTCGGCCTTCTCAATCAGTCCAATTACTGTTTGGAGGCTGTTGGAGCCGTCTGTCACTTCTGTTGCCGTCGCTGTTTGACATAACTCTCAAGTAAGTATGTTTTCAAGTTTCTTTTAAAAACTTTTTGCAGGTTTTCCTTTTGTTTTTATGAAAAGTGAACCATGCCTTGCCTGGTTTCTGCAAAAAATAAGTGCGTGTTCGGGGTTCAGGTGTGCAGCGATGGAAGTAATGTTTCACTTATGGAATTAAGCTGCAGGTTTTTAACAGTCTCACCTTAGTAAAACTGGATGAACTAGTTGTCTTGTGTGTATGCTCGAGAAACTAGGATGTATGAAACGTATTTGCAGTATGGATCGGTGGGGATTTTACTTTGAAAGGCTTGTATGTTATGTAAATGTCGACGTGTGACATCTACTGAAGATTGCAGTAGGCTTCATTGGGTTTGTGCAAATATTTGACAGCAAACACACATCCACGTTAAACCTGCAGTTTATGATCACTTATTGTATGTCTGCACATCTTAGCCTTCATATTATGTTTATTTACACTTCTGCAGAAAATATTGGGGAAAACGTCATGCAGACAACAACGCTCAGTGAACTATGAACTTGTGTTACAACTTATCTGTTTTGAAGGCCAAAGTTCAACCATTTAAGCCAAATATTTACAGAGGTGGTGCAAGAGATGCAGGAAGTTAGAGGCAGTTGTTCATTGTGTTTGATTAGGAAAAAAAGGGCTTCCTCATACTTGCTAAAGTCTTGAAGAGTTTTGGATTTATCTGTGAAATAACTTGTTTTCTGTCCTCTAGGATGACTCATCAGTTCCCATCCTTGTCTCCGGAGCAGAAGAAGGAGCTCTCTGACATTGCTCAGAGGATCGTGGCTCCAGGAAAGGGAATCCTGGCTGCAGATGAATCCACAGGTGAGCCCCCCTGAGATCTCGGTAACTGTTCACTGGCGAGAGGTGAGTGCAGAGTGCACAACTGAAATGATTCCTCCTCTCCTTTCAAGGAACCATGGGAAAGCGTCTCCAGAAAATCAACGTGGAGAACAACGAGGAGAACCGTCGCTACTTCCGTGACCTCCTCTTCTCCTCCAGTCCCTCCATGTCCAACTGCGTGGGTGGGGTAATCTTCTTCCACGAGACGCTCTACCAGAAAGCGGACAGCGGCAAGCTCTTCCCCCAAGTTGTCAAGGATCAGGGCATTGTCGTCGGCATCAAGGTGAGGAACCTACAAGTGGAGCCCAGTTGAATGCACGCACCTTCAGGTCTTCCACATGTTGACCCTTGTGAGTTAATGCATGTGTTTGGTTTTCTTGCTTCAGGTGGACAAAGGCACAGCTGGTCTAAATGGAACAGATGGCGAGACCACCACACAAGGTAAAACAACGCAACTCTACTTAACTGCAAAATCTCTGCAAGTGTAAGCATAATGCAGAAGAACCATAACATTATTTGTCTCATTTCTCTATAGGTCTCGATGGCCTCTCAGAACGCTGTGCCCAGTATAAGAAGGACGGTTGTGACTTTGCCAAGTGGAGGTGTGTGCTCAAGATCTCAGACGGATGCCCATCAGCTCTCGCCATTGCAGAGAATGCCAATGTCCTTGCCAGATATGCCAGCATCTGCCAACAGGTGTGTGTGGCCATATTCTCTACAGAAATTACTTGAATTCATTGTGATAGCAAATATTTGCTGCAAGTAACAATTTTTTTTTTTTTAAATCTGCATTGATGTACCCACCAGAACGGCCTGGTGCCCATTGTGGAGCCAGAGATCCTGCCTGATGGAACCCATGACCTGCTGCGCTGCCAGTATGTCACAGAAAAGGTTGGTTCATGATGGGTTTTTTTTTTTTTTTGGCTTAGTCGGCCAACCACCAGCAGTGAAATATTTCCCCATTGGATGATATTTTTGAAGCATGTGCAGTAATAAATCTGCCTCTTCATCTTTTTAGGTTCTGGCTGCTGTGTACAAGGCTCTGTCTGACCACCATGTGTACCTGGAGGGCACTCTGCTGAAGCCCAACATGGTTACTGCTGGACACTCCTGCGCCAAGAAGTTCACCCCTCAGGAGGTTGCCATGGCCACAGTGACCGCTCTGAGACGCACCGTCCCTGCTGCTGTCCCTGGTGAGTGTCACAAGGAAAGCGGGGAGGACTTAAGTTTCTCAGTCATTTTTAAAGTACAAGTGTAAAGCTGCTTTCTGTGTCTTTTCAGGCATCTGCTTCCTGTCTGGAGGCCAGAGTGAGGAGGAGGCTTCCCTCAACCTGAACGCCATCAACCAGGTACCCCTCCATCGCCCCTGGAAGCTGACCTTCTCTTACGGCCGTGCACTCCAGGCCTCTGCTCTTGCAGCCTGGCAGGGCAAACCCGCCAACAAGGCAGCTGCACAGGAAGCTTTCTTCAGCAGGGCCAAGGTGAGCATCAGGGGTCACGAAGAGCCATCTCTAACCATGAATGAACGCTAATAATTAATTCACTTATCAATTTGTAGTTGTGGACTGTGCACAAAACTGGCTATTAAGTCACTCTTATCTTACATTACCTAGCTTTATACTGACTGGTAAATCATTATAAAAAGCTTTGTGTCTGTTCAGTCTTGTGGTTTAGGTAACCTGGCTGATCATTAACACTCAGATTTGACTTTGCCCCAACTTCCCCCCTCCCCCCCTTCAGATCAATGGCCTGGCTTCCAAAGGAGAGTACAAGCCCACCGGCTCAGCTGACCAGTCCTCCATGAAGTCTTTGTACACTGCCAGCTACGTCTATTAAATACTGTGAACATTAAAAATAAAAATAAATACACGTGGACCAAATATGACAACAAATTCCTCCGCTGGATTTCCCTCTTCCCTACACTACCAACACCAGGGGGAGACTTCTGTTTAAAATATTGAACTACTGTTTGTCTATTCAATAAAATGACTGGAAATAAATTAAGTGACCAGAATGTTGTTGTTGTCATGGGAGTTTTTGTAGTTCGGGATCTAATGCAAATACTTCAGAGCCATAATATTAAACTTATACATTTTTCTATAGGATTTTTTTCCTTTACTGTCAGTGACATAAGTGTGGTTTTTGGCATAAAGCAGCTATTCAGTCATGTCGGAATCACTAATGTCAGAGTCAAATGCATTTGAATCTGTTCTGAGTAGAGCAAACGCATGCTTACTTCATGAAACAAAGACTGGAGGGAAAAACAGTTAGGATGTTGCCAATCTGATTGCGCAACAGTCATGGGGAGATACTGACACATTTAAAGACACAGTCCCGCTGATCAAGGGAGTTGCTCCAGAACCAAAATGTAACAGATTACAACAGGGTAATTTTCATGAGCCAAAGCAAGAAATGTTCTGATGCTAATCAGTTTAACAAAAATATTCATTGTTCATCTGTGATCAAAGCTATTCAATTATACACATTTTAACCTAATTAATGGTGGCCTTCAATTTGGTATTTTTGTCTTCTATATGTAACTAACAATAATTTATAATGCAGTGTGTGTGAGGTTTGACTTACAGAGTGTGTGTTAGTGCACATAGATTTGTGTGTAATATGTCAACAATCTGAGCATCATTTATTTTAAAATGTTTATTTAACAAGACAATACACATTACATTTATTGCACTATATAGCTAAAAGCTAAAGCTAATCCCTTGAAAAATGTTTCCCTGTCCAGGGACTGTCTTTTTCACACATTCACAAAATACATGGCAACAGGTTTACAAGCAGGCTGTTCATATCAGTCATGTAGATGAAAATACTGAACTACAAAAACATACACATCAAGTCACAAGCTTAGAAAAATATGCTGCATGGATGTCACTATAAAAACCCAAATGTATTCAAATATACTGTCACTTCTTTTAAACGTCTGTAAAGTTACAGTCGCAGGTGGATACAGAGTGTATACAGAGGTTCACAGTGATTCTCAAAAGCTGCAAGTAGAGTCTAAACTATGCCAACACTGCACATACTGTAATAATGCAGATAATGTACAGACATAAGGGTTTATGGGGTAACAGTAAGTGACCACAATATATAATTAAAATATAAACTGAGTGGTTATTCAACTTATGGTTAGACTTTTTCTGGGTTGGGGTGTTGTGGAACAGAAAGAAAATGTACTTCTGATTTATTTTAATGTAAATATAGAAGCATGTGCTTCGGTCTGACTTTACCAGTGTTAACTAACAACACTGTATATTATTGTTGGTACAATATACATAAGATTAGGCGATATAACATTACCACAGAGTTAATCAGTTGACTCTATTGATAGTTATCAATACCATGTAAGATCTGTTCATCTTGAGGCTTTAATTCAAAGTAATGTAACATGTTTACTGACCCATACAGTAACAAACATTGCTAGATAAATTAGTGGTTAAGATCTTCCCTTATAAGTGCATGTAAAATAAATGTATTCAGCATTACACATACGGTAGCTGTAGGTAACTTAAAAAAGCTGCGGTGGGGTTATTGGGCTACTGCCTCTAAGTGGAGTAACATTCACGTGCAATATACTGCACAGGATTCTCACATATTTCTTTCACAGAAGAGGAGTGCTGCAAGCAAACCAGTGTTAGTGATTGTAGAACAATGCTTCAGAAAGGTTGATTTTAGTTTGATGTTGTGTCATTCCGTGGTGCCGGTATGTGCTGGACAATGACCTGTTGAAGATACGGAGCGGGTTGTTAGGGAAGAGGACAACAAGAAAACAGTAAAGTGATGACTGACACACAGCTGTGTATGTGAAATATGTCTCTCACGACTCTCTTTTGCATTCATTCGGGTTCGTACAGAAGTGAACAAAGTGTGGAAGAAATCCAAGAATGGTTATTTATTCCTTGTAAAACAAAATATTCAATTTGCAGCTTTAATTTGCAGAATGTTATAAAAATATCCTGTTACATCCTGTGATAAAATATCTGTGGGATGGCACATTATGTTCCCCTCCCTTGTGTACACAAAGTTAATTTTAAAACCCTGGAAGAAACCACAGGCCCCTACTTTACAGATATGGAAAGAAATGATGGGATGATTTTTGAAGAGGGGATGGGTATATGTGTTATATGTAAGGTGAATGAATGTGATATGACTGTCCATGTGTCTCATATCTTGCTCATATGTTTTGTATATGCACTGATACTGATGTCATGTTAGATTGAGACCATCATGGGACAGTATACTATCTTATACATCAAGTTTTATGATATATATTTGTTGACAAGAGATTGTTAGCAAAACCTCATGGTGTAAAGCATGAATTTAAATAAGACAATTATAAGAAAAAAAGGGAAAATGTTTTACCTGAGTGTTTGTGGACTTCAGAGCTAACCGTGCGATGACGCACAAGAAGATGAGAAGCACTGACACACACAGAGAGAAAGTGAACAATATGCTTTCGACACCAAAAAGCTGCTCCTAAAACAAGAGTGAAAGAGAAAAGTTACGCATATACTGTAACAATGTGCATGTCTTCCATTCAGTCTAACAAATGTATGCTGCAACTCACCGCTCTCTGTGAGGCCCAGTCCCTGTCTTCATCCACCCACTTCGCCCTGTACCTTAAGTAGTTAATAGTGGAGAGGCAGAATATTCTGTAGCCAACAGAGACTGCGATTCCCAAGAGGGAAACCACATACATGGCCAAACACACAGTCACCTGGGAGAGATAAGTCCCACAAGATTAGATGAGTTATCAATAACGAAATGAAGATTAAGGGTGACTAAAAAAGATAAAACCACAATATACCTACCATCTTCTTGGATGGGTGCATCTCAGTGTAGATAGACAGGTTACCACTGACAAGAAACTTTTAAAAAAGCAGATGAAAAAAAAAGATTACCACAGTATATTACTTATCCAGCCTTGTTCACACGTCATGTCTCTGTAGTCAAGTCATTTAGTCGAGTCAGCAATTTGATAAAGATTATATTGCAGAATGTGATAAAATCAACTGCTAACAAATCAAATGTTATGTACCAGAAGTCCCTGCCAGAAGGGAATGTAGATTTTACCAGACGTTGGCACACCTTCACTGACCAAAGAAAAGCCCATCAGGACCTCTGCACACCCGAAGATCACAATGGCAATCTGGGAGGGAGAAGAGGAAGTGTGTGTTAAAGTACTGTCCGTACAGCTCTTTATGTATATGTCTATTTCTATACACTTATTTATTACTTATGGCTGTTATTTTGCTGTGTTACCCCAAGAGCTCTGGGCTCTTTTTGGACAAAGCGATGCAGAGGCTTGCTGGACATCAGCATCAATTGATCCACAGCCTTTTTCCCATCCTTTCCTGTTGTTTTCTCCCTAGTTGTTGACTCAGCACCCTCCATGGCCAGTACACTATACGATGTGTTTAGTTGTGTGAGGAGAGAACAAGAATTAATCAAACCACATGTAAACTCTCCCCTTCCACAGCACAGACGGTATTTTGAGACTGCTAAGCAGATTTAAAGAGACAGACTATTTGTGGCGTAGCAGAATTACTCCAGATGCACGCTGCATGCAAGATTATAAAAGCAGCCTTAAAGAATGCAGTGATATATTATTCAAAAACCTGAATTGACCCACCTTGTTCTAGTTTTTCATGTAGAGAAGCAGTGTGAATGATAACGGAAAGGGAATGTAGTGGGTCGTCAGAGGAAGTGGGGTAATTTGAGAGTAGCTTTTTCCTTTTTTCAATAGGGGGAGGAGCTGAACACTTGCAGTTCCTCAGTACAGTCCACACAGTCAAATTCACATTCCCCTGAAATCCAGAGACAGATAATCACATTGCACAACAATGTCAAATGTTAAAATGAAACAGTAGAATTTGGAAATTTCAACACAACAGAACTGTCCACCTAGTATCTAATAAATCTCAGCTCTGTGATGTTAATTCACTCTACACTTTTTTCATTTAACAAACATTATCCAACCATATTTATTTAAACTAAAAGTAAAATCTGGACTTTGAATGTATGCATTATGATGCACTCAGGTTGAAACTTGATTTAAATTTGTTTCATTATCAATCAATCTGCCAAATAAATTGATTATAATGATCACTTATCAGAATAGTTGCTGGTTCAAATGAGTCACTATGTTTCAGTGGAGCCCAGTCCCCATCACCTATAGGACCTACAATTCCACATTAGATGCAAAATACATTCTTCCTTAACTACTCACCATTATTAAAAAAGAGGAACATAAGAGATGTAATGACTAACCTTTTTTTTTTGGGTCGAATTAATAGCTTTACCCCGATCTCACTCGAACGGAAAAGAAGCTCCTGAGTGCAATTTTGAGGAAGTGGAACTGGGAGCACTGTGTACTGGTAGTTAGTGTTTCTCACAAGAGATAAAATTACACAATACAATCTCATTAATAGCACATATTACCCCTATAAACCATGACAGGCTGCACATAACACAACATCTGGAACTGGAATAGAAACACTGATAACATATTTAGCTATTTTCTGGGCCTGCAATCTTCTACATTCATTAGATCTCTATCCAACCACAGAATAATCATCCCCACAGAAGCAAGAGCAACCCTACTAGGTGACATATGACAAAAATCAATACCTTGGAACTGAAGAGAAATGCTGTTATCACTGACAACAATCGGATAGCCATGTGATGGAAGGATGAACAACCACCTACATTTGCTAGATGGATAAATTAGTGTAATATAGACCAAATGAAGGATAATGTGTGACTCTAGTTGTCAACATAATACTCCGTTCATATTCATTTTAGTATTTACACAAGAAATTAGTGGCCGGACCTGAAGCGGGTGGTTGGTGGTGGGAAGGAGGAAGTGGTGGCCTGATCTGGCATCTATGTGATGTTTTTGTACATCGTTGCATTATTCAGCCGTAGGGCGGTTATGTTACAAAACCAATAAAATTTTTTGCAAAAACTTTAATAACGTTATCTAGAGAAGATCTTACTCTCAAAAAACAGTTTTAAGGTGATATCAATTCATTTGATGAATATACAGTCATTAATAACATTGCATTATGGGCATGATACGATAAATACTTTATACTATTTACAGTCATGTAAACCCTCTAGGTGTTCAAGTTTCAGACTTTGATGATCAAAAATACATCAGTCTTCTTCAGTCTCTCAACTGATGGTGTCACAATAAGCAACAGAAAGAAAGTTTGTGACATTGGTGAATGAGTGTAAAGACTCTCTCAGGTCTCAGGTATTAAAAAAATATATTATATTAAAAATACCTACATGGATAACAACAATGAAGATGGTGGTCAAAATACCAGTAGTTTGTGTTTAAAAAGGTATCAAAAATTACTTTAAATATACCAACATTGTTTGTCCATTACACAGATTGCAAAATGTAAACAAGAAGTCTCGTATTTTCAGGTGTGTCCTCGAGGTACCAGTGATTTGTCAGGTGCTTGTTGGTTCAGGAACATGGGGTGTCCTGCAACATAACAAATAATTAGTATTTTAACTTCAGAACTAGTACAGATTCACCCAACAAAACAACCAAATCTTTACCGAGCAATAGGATGAGTAGGACAGAAGGTGGTGCTCCAGGAGATGCGTTGCTCTTCGTCTGATCTCTCCTTCGCTGTTGTACTGAATGGCTTCTAACAGTGAAACTCCGCCTTGCCTTACAAACTCCTCTGCCACCTAAAGGGATGGAATAACTGGTAAAAACTGCTAATCATTCTCTACTTGGGTTAGTCCTAACGGGCAGCATCATAGTTTAAAAGGTTTCACCAGTTTACCTGTGGACCACTAACTACCAGCATGAACAGGACATCCATACTCAGGGTCACCATCTCTTGGTCGGCCATTTTCAGTGTGGCACAGAGTGCAGACAGCAATCCAAGATGAGCCAGCTGGACACAGAACTCCTTTTTCTTGTGGGCAATATTTGCTAAAACCCTCAGGATCTGAGTATAATGAGAAGGACCAGTGAGACGGAGTGTAACATTGTGGACTGAAGGAGCCAAAGAACATAGTTCATCATTATAGAGCTACAATGATAGTTAAATACTCTATGAAGGCAATAATATAAAAATAAAAACTTGTACAGACCATGGTATTGATTCCTTGAGAGAAAGGAAGGAGCTGGATCAGTCCAGGGATCAAGTTCAGAGTCAGCAGAGCAGAGCACAAAGCACTGGAATAAGCTGTGGCAGTAAGATTAGAACAAACTCCAAATAAATATATCAAATCAATCCAAATATCAATCCTCAATGTAAATTCTCAATTCCTAGTACAGAAGGAGTTCCCACCACCTCCACAATTTCATATGCAGTAAAATGAACCACCCACATACATTTAATTTATCATTTGAATCAGGTGTGTATTGTAATTGTAACAATTATTCAGTTTTGTTCAACAGGTTCCAGGTGGCTTGTTACTGAAAATAGAATCCAAACTAAACTCATCATATATCATGAAATATCAACATTGCTCAGGTGTAAAATATTACTTTGTGTGCTTACAGTTGTCCCTAAACCCACTCTGTTCCTGAACCCAGAGAACATGTGAAACAGAAATCCCAGTTTACACAGTTTAAAGACCACAATAAGTGCAGAAGTATGTCTATTATTCGAACCTGTGAGGTTGTTGAGGACCCAGGCACTCTCTCTGGCCAAAGCTGGCTGGGTCTGTAAGTAGGCCTGAAGGAGTGCACACAGAGCAACCACGATACCGACATCACCCACTTGAGAGTTCAGGGTTTCAACTGGGCAGGAGGACAGGAGGTTTCCCACACACCTCAGCAGAGGACAGATGAGCTAGAGAGGAAGAGCACATTGTAAATCTTCATGTCAGTTAAAATACCATACTGGTTATTTTTTATACTTTCAGCCTAAAGATTACAAATGGTGTATACTTTAAATTGTGGTTGATTTACTTTGCCTCCTGCTTTTCAGTATAAAAATCAATGATTCCTTTAGATAAGTAAATCATCAGTGAGTGAGTAGGGCTACTTTCTCATCTTAAATTGTATTATTTTATCATCATTAGAGGTAATATAGCACCACACCACCAAAATAAATTAAAGCATAAACAGTTCACTGTGATGGATCATCTCAAACATGTTTCAAGATCATTCCATGCTGATATAATCTGACACCAACAAGGTTTTAGAAGGTTAGAATTAGGGATTAAACAATACTTTTCTCATGATTTAAAAAATAATAATAATAACAATAATAATAATAAAAGAGATTGAAGATAAATTATTATTTCTCAGACAAAAATCTACAAAATATATTTTCTCTTACATTTGTTTATCAAATTATAGAATACTTTTTTAAATTCTTAGATACAAGATGATGCATATTCCCTTTTCTATCTTAAATGTGATGTCTTTCTGGCTTGATACAGCTACTGACATGAGTGACAAAGGAAGCTGAACAAGCAAAGTCAACAATAAATAGCGCCCTCTGCTGTTTAAAAAGACTATCACTATCATACGATTCATTTTATGTCACATATTTGTATCATGATTTAACTCTATATCTTTACATTTCTTTCTCATATATGTGATTTGTTTTAAAATGGAAAAAATTCAATTGAAAACAACAACAAAAAACCAAGAGAGTGAAAAAGCAAAAAAACATAATGAAATACTGTATTTGATCCATTTATGTCCTTACCAGCTCCATTCCTTCTTCTTTGTTTCCCTCTGCCACAGCGCCACCTAGTGACACTAACAGTGAACTGCACTTCAACAGAGCCCCACGAGACAACAGCACTGTGTTATCCTCAATGCTATGTAGTGAGACAAAGACAGAAAGCATATCATCTATTACTAAGATACATGAAGCACAAGTAAATATAACAGACTTCTGACACCTGCTGAGGATACCCTTCAGCTCTCACCTGCATGTGAGGTAGTGCAGACACCATGCACACTCTATGGCAGGTGCCAGGCCAAACTTTGGGTCAGGAGTCAGGACTGATAACAAGTGTGAAGGTAAGCTGGAGGCCAGGATCATCCTGCAGACACAGATGAAGAATATTATATAACTAACAGTGTTTCATAGGAGAATGAACTGGTGTCATCAGAGTGCTTACGGGATTATTTTATCTGCTGCATCTTTGGACTGGAGAAGCTGAGAGAGGGTGAAGCCCACAGCTTCCACCACCGCAAGGTTATGTCTCTGGTTCTGGACACAGACAGAAACACCAAGAGAGACATGTTAATATTACCTACAAGGTTCGGGGCCACTTTCAATCTATGAAATGCCAGTTAAATTTGGTAAGAGTGTCAACAGCACTGATGTGTTTCATCACAGTACAGTCATATAATTTAGTTTATAACTCAAAACACATGTTTAAGTGTGGACAACCTCTTTAGCACCAGTTTAAGGTTATGTGAGAAATTAGAATGTGATTCAGTTTCTAAATGATTTAATAAAGATCTACTGACATATCAACAAGGCAAAGGTGTTGGTGTAGCTTGGGTGTTAATCTTTACCTCTATACAGCTGGCCAGAGCTGGTATGATTCCCTGGGCCAGGAGTTTCTCTTTTACAACATCACTGTCTGGACATAAGTTACCCAGTGTGTAGAGACACAGCTCCTGCAGACACATGGAACATACACACAAATGGAAAGTCAAAACATCTCCTGGATAATTGGGGGATAATAATGAACACTGCCTGGTATGAGTGGGTATTCACAGTGAACTTGGTGCTCTGGCCAGACAGATAGGTGAGCAGGTAAGGGGTGGCAGGCAGACAGGCCGGTGCCACATTGGTGTGGGCAGAGTGAGACAGCTCATGAAGACACCGAACGGCCTGCAGACGGCACGTAGCATTGGAGCCGGTGAGGAGACCAACCAGAAGATGCATGCTATTCTCCTGCCTAGAAGGAAGACAGATTCATACATGAGAATCAGAGATACAAATAGCTATAACGTTATTTAAATTCCACGTTTCCACCGTACTTGATGAAGGTGAGCTGTGCCGATGGGTCGCGGAGAGCTTTACTCAAGGCTTTCAGGTGGGCCTCCCTCTCCGGCCCGGTGTGTTGAAGTTTGTGGAACAAACTGACCACGTCCTGGGGGAATGATGAGCATATTCAGGTGGTATGTTTTACATGAAGACCTGCCAAAACACGACCTATCTCAACGTCTGTCTCACCTGTTCCCCTGAGTTAGTGTCCATGGTGACCTCCGGCTGGTCCTCATCTTCATTCAGCAGGAGTCTCTTGCTCACAAGCTGTCTGTCTCTGCGGGCCTGTCTCAGTGCTATGGCGGGTCACAGAAAAATATCACATCACTTCTGAGAGTAGCCTGTCTACTTAACTAGATATCATAACTATATATCAACTTATTCATTTTTTCCTATGATTATGTAAATGAGATTATGTTGTTGTCTTAAATATTATAAAACTCAATGGCCCCATGGTATCAACTTGTGTAACATTACACGGATTGTATTTCTTAGAGACCATAACACTATTATTTTATATTAAAATGTTACAAAAGAAAAAGGTCGATGTCTCTGCACTGAATGAAGTCAGGTTGCTCTGAGTAGATTTAGACTGCATGCTTGTTAATTTAAATCTTTATCCAATTAACTACACAGGAGCCTCTCACATCTTGTTTATGGGGTTAAGAAACATTAAATGAAGTTAGCTAAATGAAGACATAACGTTAGTTAGTGTGATTTGATAGGTAACGTTAGGTCAACTGGATGCATTTTTTAGGTGACTGGTATATTATATTTGTTATCTAAGCTGGCTAGTTACATTATTTGACATTAATGTATGAAGCCAAGTTAAATTGAAGACTAGCTGTGCTTTAGGGCGGCGGTTCCCAACCTTCACTAATAATACTTGTATAAAAATATCAGGAAAACTAATCTCTGATCAATAAATAATCAGATCAAAACTCATCCTAATCGCTCGTTTTTACACAAACGTTGGTTCATTGTAACGTTACAGTTTATCAGTTGTTATTGTTGAATATATGCTGCTTCAGGGCACAGCTAACAGGGATCCTAACAAATAAACAAACAGAGGTTAGGTGTCGTTATTTCTCTTGTAAATTAACTGTAAACTGTTTCTCCCCAAACAGCCGTTAACAGCCGTTACAATACGTTAATAAGACACGCTAAAGTTCGATGTAAACACTCCATATTCGAATTTTAACGTTCGAACAACTCACCTTTCTCGCGCTCTCGCCGCTTCAACCGGAGCTCGCTGTCGCCCTGTCGCGCAGCTTTGTGGCGAACTTTGTTTAACCTCCACATTTAGATAATTTAAGGTCAATAACAGTTCAAACTCTTCGCTAATCGCTGGGTGCTTGTTTCTCAGTGGGAGACGTCGCTGTGGATACTGTCAATGGGCTTGACCCATGTTGAAAGTGTTCTTCGGTGGTTTTTGTCCGACCGCAGCCAGCTACTGCAGCGCCGTCTATGGGACACATCCGGTCTGACAACACAACCATCAACTTAAAAGACAGGGAGCATTTACAAAAAACTATGGTTTAATTTGTATTAAAAGCACAATTTACAATGCATATAGGAAATCTTTATCAAACATTTAAAACTTTTGTTTAAAAAAACATGATTTTCACAACCATAGGACTGTAACCCAATGCCAAAATAGGCTTTTAAAACTGTTTTCCATTATTTTTTGAATAAATATAAAACTATTTGTTTTTTTTTCTCCAGAAGAGCGGAGTTCGGAGGCGTATACTGAAAACAAATAAAGGTCCAGTGTGTAACATTTATAAGGCTCTAATAGCAGAATACTATACTATATTAACGCTAATGTTTTAATTGCTCTATAATCTGCTGAAAATGAGTTTTTGTTACCATAGAATGAGTTTTTATCTATAGATGTTTCTACAGTAGCTCAGAATGGACAAACACTGGCTCTACCATAGTAGAGTGAACCATAGTAGTTTGCACTTGGAAAGGGTTGATGAAGCAAGGGAGTAAATCTACAACTACACCGCTAGATGCCAAAACTCTTACACACTGGACCTTTAAGATGTCGGACTATCATGGGAAGAATTCCTGAGACTGTAAGTGTTTATGAAATTTGAAATGTGTTCAAGAGAGACATTATTTGGTTCAATCAATGACTGATGAAAAAAGACTAGATGACATATCATGAGAGGGATCATCCATTCCATCAAACAGGTAATAAATCCCTTTAACATATTCATGCCATTAAAATGGCAATATCATATAAAACAAAAAAATAACAGTTGTGGCATAGTAAAAGAGTAAAAACATAAAACAAATGAAAAAGTTGAAAAAAGTACCAAAATAAAAAAGTAATTTTCTCTTTACAGTTTTAAGCGATCTTTTTAACCATTAAAATATGATTCGAAATCGGATGGAAAAGGATGCGTTGTCTTCATCCTTTGGTTCTGCGTCTTCATGACTCAGTGCTCTTGGAGGATTTCTTTTTCTGTGGAGAATTACAGAAGGATTAGTAAACTTATGATTACTTATCAATGATCCTCTCGCACTAAAATGAATAACACGCTACTCTGAACTGACAACAGTGACATGATCGCTCTGTGAGAATTTGAACTTGTTGAGAGTACAGTGCTGCGACACCTTTTTCTGGGTGTCCCTTGAGGGTGTTTGGAGGGTTTCTGCTGCTGCGGCGTCTTGGACAGAAACTGCTGATGTTTCTGAGCTGTCATCAGATTTCAACTTGCTTTTCTCTGAGAGAAAGACAAATGACCAACATTTATAAATGCTCACAAAAACACATTTTGTTCACGTCTGGTGTTACTTATCTACTCACTTTTCTTCTTCTCTGTCTGAGGACTCGGTGTGTCGAGGTCGGGTGGAGGTAGTGGTTCTGTATCAACTGAATCATTTTTCAATGATGAGTTCTTTTTTTTCTTCTTCTTCTTCACTTCAGTAACCTGCTCCGGCTTTTCTTCTCCGTCGCTGCCCTCGGGTTTATTTGTCGTCGCGTTTTCTTCCACCTGCTCCGACGTCTCCTCATTATGATTGGCTTTGTCCTTTTTTTTCTTTTTCTTTTCTTTTACTGTTTCCTCTGAACTTTCCTCACAATCAGTTTTCTCCTTTTTCTTTTTCTTTGCTTTCTTTTCTTCAACTATCGGCTCTGTATTTTCTTTGACCGGTTCAGCCACCTGCTCTGGATTTTCCTCACCATCAGCGGTCTTTTTTTCCTTCTTTACTTTCTTTTCTTCAGCTGTTTGCTCGGAATTTTCTTCACCACAAGTTTTCTCCTTTTTCTTTTTCTTTGATTTCTTTCCCTCAACTACTGGCTCTGTATTTTCTGTTACGTTTTCAGCTATCTGCTCTGCTGAATCTTCCTTGTCTTCTTCAAATTTCTGCTCTGATTTTTCCTCGCTGTCAGCTTTCTTTTTCTTCTTTACTTTCTTTTCCTCCACTATCTGCTCTGAATTTTCCTCACCATCAGTTTTATCCTTTTCCTTCTTCTTGGATTTCTTTTCGGGCACTATTGGCTCTGTAATATCTTCGTTATCAACGTTACCGATGTTGTTTTTCTCCATCATTTCTTCTTCAGTCTCATTCTGTTTCCCATCTACTTTTGACCCTTTTGTTTTTTTCTTTTCCTCTTTGCCTTTTCCAACATCACCAGTCTCATTTGTGCTCTCTTCCACTTTCTCTTCAGTTGTCTCCTTTTTCTTCTTCTTCTTCTTGGGCTCGGACGACGTCTCATCAGTTTTGTCTTCACTGGGAGTCACAGCTTTCCTTTTCTCTTTCGTTGGTGTCTGTTTTGATGGGGAGACAGTGGCTGCAGCTGGTATTTCCTCTACAGGGTTGATGTTTTGCTCTTGGCTCGGGGTGGCTGAGGAGATCACAGGTGCCGTCTTTTCTGGCATGCTCTTCTTAGGTCTACCAGTCTTTGTTGGTGTTTCCTCCACTTTTCCTTTCTTTGCAGCCGTTGCCCTTTTCTGTTTAACAGGAGTGTCTGTTTTTGCGGCAGGCTTAGCCCGGGGTTTCCTCACTCTTTTTTTCGCGGGCTGCGGTGCAGAGGAGTCCAGAGCGTCGATGGTGTCCATCTTGGCTACGTCAGCCTCTGTGAACAGAGTAAACACGGTGAAGACGCTGAACAAACATGGCTGGCTCGGTGGCACAAACATTTAAAAGAAAAACAAAACATCAATGGCAACCACACAGCTACTGTACATAGCTCTGTTTGTGTGAAATCACTGTTTTCCATGGTGAGGTTGTTCATCATGGGTGGTGCTGTCCTGCCTGGTGGCTGTCTTTCTCACTTTAAGTGAAAGGACCCAGCTCTCCCTCTCTTTTCATCTCCCAACATTTCCAGCATTTTCCAATCCTCTTTACTTTCTCCACCCACATCTCCAGCCGTCACTCTGTCTGCTCCAATGTGAAAACCTCCAACACTCCTAACTTGGAGTCTTATATCTGATCTCTAAATGGTATCATATATATCTATTAGCAGTAGCAGAAAGTGTTGAAGGTCCAGTGTGTAGGATTCAGTGGTTTGTCCATTGTGGATTAATGTAAAACATGGCAGTTCAACATGGCGGCCTCTGTAGAAGAAGACCTGTTGCTCTGTAGATAAAACCGGCTCATTTTAAGGTAACAAGAACACAACCATTTATATTTTCACTTGCATCACCACAATGGTACAATTTTATCTTGCCAAAGTTTGGTGGTTTAACACAACTACTTATGCTGAATTGCTCTTGCAAAATTCGCTTCGCATTGAAAATGAATGGTGCAATAAATCCTAGAGGATCATACACTGAACTTACAACAGACAAAATGCCTCTTCTAGTGCATCTTGTTTCTTCAGTGAAACCTGAAATGTGAACTTCACTGACCACTGGATTCCAAGAGCGTTTTCAATAAGAAGGTCATCAGAGTCTAAGTCTAGGCTTTTTATTTCCTTTGCTCTGTCTTCTTTGGGAATAAAGGCCAAAACATCTCTGCTATTATAGACCAAATCCACCCTGGGAACAAAGCATGATCTAAATTGTGTCAGTGCTTTCTCTTATATATATATATATATATATTAGCAGTAGCAGAAAGTGTTGAAGGTCCAGTGTGTAGGATTCAGTGGTTTGTCCACTGTGAACTAATGTAAAATATGGCTGTTCAACATGGCGGCCTCTGTAGAAGAAGACCTACTCACTCTATAGATAAAAATAGCTCATTCTAATGGTAACAAATTCAATTCATATTTTCAATTGCATCACAAAAATGGTATTTCTATTGCAAGATGCATTTCCCATTGAAAATGAATGGTGCAATAAATCCTAGAGGATCATACACTGAACAAAATCAATGGGAAGGTCATCAGAGTCTAAATCTAGGCTTTTTATTTCCTTTGCTCTGTCTTCTTTGGAAAATAGAGGCCAAAACATCTCTGCTATTATAGACAACCTGTGCACAAAGCATAGGCTCCTACAATTATATTCAGTTTCTGCCATCAGATCCTCAAAAATGTTACATACTGGACCTTTAAGAAATTAGTTAGTCACAGCTATCACTGCAAACAGTTTCTTTGTTGTGTTTTGGCAGAATATATATCGTGCCATAAAGCTGTTCACAACACTTCTAAACCCTAGTGTGCTCACTAAAGTACTCTAGGCTTCAAAACCATCAGTCTAAAACTATCCGGACAGATAAAAAACACTCAGAGTAACAAGGAAAATATGGTTTGTTGTTTCTTTATATTTCTGGGATTCTCCTCATCACCTCATCTTTTGCATACTTGCACACTCTTTCTTTCACGCACACATACCTGTCATTTGCAGGACCAGTTTCTTCCATTTCTCTACATCCAAACTGCTGTCAGAGTCTGAATCATCTCCTCCAGCAGTTGTTTGGGTCTTTGATTTCTTCGCATTTTTTGCAGACTTAACTTCACTTTTTTTCCTTTTCGCTGGCACAGACTGAAAAAGAAAAGAATGAACAGCCCACTTAATAACCAGGACCGGTCCTTGAACCAGTAGCTGAACTTCTGCATTAAAAAATTAAAACAAAATAAAAAAAACTCACCTTCGTTTTTGGTGTTTCTGATTTTTTTGCAGGTTTATCCTTCTTTTTCCTTGCCGTCGCTGGACATAAAAAGTGGGTAGAATGTGTTAGATCCTGTCCATGTTGCATATTTGAGGTTGTAAGAAAAAAACAAACCGTCATATACCCTTAGCTGGAGTCTTGGCTGAGTCAGGCTGCCTTTTCTTTTTCGAGTCCCTGAGAGGAATAGAGACAATACTTAGCACACGTGTCATCACTACCAACAAAATCCAAGAAAGATCACACTCACTTTAACCAGGAATTGTAGATATCCAGTAATGAGGAGTTAGGGTTAGATATGCTTGTCTCCCCCTGCAGATATCAAAACATCCCATAATTAGGCAGTTTATTAGGTATAAGATATAAGACATAAGATTATACAGTTTTGATGTTGATGGCCTTACTAGCACAAGAGAACTTTAATCCCATGTGAAATAGCAGGACAAGCACACATGAAACTAATCACAATCATAATGCCTCCATTCAACCAATTAATGCAATGCAGCAATTCATAATGTCATTAATTACACCTGTGTTTGACACTCAAAAGATTGTGGAAGTGTTTACCCCTGCTGCCCAACCACCCCCAACCCAAAGAGTTTGGGAACCGCTGCACTAAACTGCAGAGGGATTAGACGTTGCTGGGTGTAAACTAACTAACACCTGGATGGATCTAATAAACAGACCACTGGCAGCTCAGTCTATCAAAAAACAATAGTTCTATCTTTAAAAATATCCAGTTTAACATAATATCCTGGTTATACACTGGCAATTATTTTTTATTATTATTATTTTTTTTTTTACTATAATTTAAATACTTAAAATATTTGTGGGCAGCAATGGTCTGGGACAATACACAATCTTATAATAACTTTATTATTTTTGAGCTATTTGTTATTTAGATCAACATTTCTTCGAATCAAACTTGAGACACAACTGGGTGTTGCTAGGCTGATAATAACAGCTCCTCCATGAATGAACATGAATGAACGTGAATGAACAGAAACTACAGAGAAAAAACACAACTAACAGTTTGAAAACAACTTAAAGAAAAGTGTGAGTCAGCAAGGAAAGAGTGTAGGCAAGCACGTCAATTACACTAAATATATATATTCTTTTAGCTTTTCATGACTCATAACTTCAGTATGGCGATAACAGGAAGATAGTTTAGTGGGTGACAAGAGTTTTGTATATATAATGTATACTTCACAGTAAGTGATAGTGTGCAAACTACTGAATGGCTCTCAGGGATGCTCACTTTTTTTTTTTACTGACTGTGACTTACAGGATGCTGACTACAAAACAGAAAGTAATAAAGTGAGAATGTTTATGAAATTGCAATCGAAGGTGTTCACAAGAATACCATGCATAGCCTACTTATATGTTTATTAAAGTGCATTAATGAGAAATCACCATCATGCATTAATTAGACATCAATAAAAACTCATATTAACACATGATCCATGGTAATGAAGATACAGAAGTTAAGTTAATATTAAGTTAATATTTTAGATTCTTTACAAACCATGTTTTCAGGGGAGCTCATGTCCTATTATATATTATTAAGAGTAGTAGTTCACACCCTGGTGATCGTCTAATAGTAAAGTCTGCTAATGTACAGGGTAAGTAAACTTTGCAGGTTAATGATCACAGTTGCCTTTTTCCCAAATTGTAACATTACTGTGCAGCAACTGAAACATTGTTGCAAACACTTCCTATCTGTCTGTCACTATATATTACAGTCAGTATACGTGTGTGTGTGTGTGTGTGTGTGTGTGTGTGTGTGTGTGTACACACAGTGTTGACCTGTGGGTTGTGCCTCTGTAGCTCATCTGCAGCTGAGTGGAAACCATGCTCCTTCAAATATCGGTAGATCAGCTGGATCAGCTCGTGCTTTGATGCGTTCACGGACATACTCGACACACGAAGAAGCCGACGGATAAACACGCAACAGTAACGACTAAAAGTAATTTCATATTAAAACCGGACATATAGAGTCACGGCTAATCCTCTAAAACACGCATGTGAGCAGATTGAACTTTCAACTCAGGATGTCGTTCTTTTTACCGCTGCAATGCACCACGGGAGACGTAGTACTTACGTGAAACTACTTCGGCTGCCGCTGCTGCTTCTTCAGGTTTTAATGAAGATTGGTAAACTAGCCTGTAGGCGCATTATCGCCACCTGCTGGACTGGAGTGTGGAGATGTAGAAAAAAATATAGAAATGATTCCATGATTTCTTTCCAAGTAAATTCTCCAATCTAACATCTAATCCCCCCTTTCTTGACCATATTAGCTGCAGTCTATTAATACATGTGTGACATTTTCCAGTTTATTACAATGAGTGGATATCCACATGTGTGTTTGCCTCTGATATGGAGTGTATGATTTAATGTGTCCTGTTCTCAGACGGGTGATGATGTCTTCCTTTGGGCTCCTGCTCGGTAATCCACCGATGCCCACGTGTTTTCGTATATTGTAAAGATGTCTTCCAGTGTCACATAAGTCCCACTATTCCTGCCAACTTTTGTGCACGTGATCGTTTAAACTGCCTCTATTCAGCCATGGCACAGGCTGTCATCGGTCCATGCAGGGCCGGACTGAAAAATACTGTGCAGAAAAGTCTTCCTGGAGTCCTTTGCAGTTTCTAGTTGGTATCTGTAATCCACAGTGTACTCTGCTTCTACAGTGGGACATTTCACATATATCTGCTTTTTTAAGTTGGACAACACAACAGTCAAAGACCTGTTCTCTTTCCATCTCTTTCTTTTCTGTAACTTTCCAATTTTGGTTAATTTCAGCTCAATAACAGCTCAGTTGCACGTCCTGTCACAGGAAGGAAACATCTGTGAACAGATGAGCCACTCCCTTAATTCAGTCAAGGCCTGTATGATTTGGATTAACCTACTCTTATAGGACATTTTTCCTCAGAGCAATCTGACTTTACTGGAGGAGACCATATTAGTGATCTGATCTGTCTTGAAGACTCCCTGAAGCAGCTGCCTCAAGGTTGTTTCTTCAAGACTTTCTGCTGACGCTTGTTTGGTTTCTGGTGGTTCTACATAATTGAGAACCGCCACGCTGGCTCCAGTAAAAGCTTAGACAGTTGAGTCAAATAACCGATCTGATGGCATGGCAAAAGAGCAAGTTTAAATAAAAATGTCAATCCCAATCATTTTCATTTTATTCTGTTGGAAATTTTGTATCTACTTTTTATTTCAAAGATTTAAAAAAAAAAACTTCGAAACCGTTTGTCCCAAAATAAAACTGATCCCCTGAAATCATACAGTATGACAGGTGACTAAGGAGATATTAAACCTACTACCCAAACCCAAACCTACTACAAGGAGTTTTTAGCTGGACCTATAAAAGCACACAAAATCATCAGAGAGAAGATTGGATATTTCTATAGTTTTATAGTTATTCTTAATGCCTGCCACCAGGTCGGATTCTGTCCAATTCTCCTTGAAATCAATGAAACAAGGTGGTGGAAACACTACTGCTTTTGTCCCACAGGGGCTGCCAGAATCAAGTAAAAGTTTCAATTATATAAAAACACCTGCATTCAGTAGCTCAAGTGAAAGTTTAAAAGTATTATCAACCAAATGTACTTAAAGTTTCAAAAGTAAAAGTACTCACATGCAGCAGAAAAGACCCTGTCATTTCAGTGTTTCAATCTGCAAAGTAACTAATTTACAGTTAATCACAAAATCACAATATTGCTTTCTGAAATACTTGAGTACAGGTTCCTCAACATTAGTATAGTACTTGAGTAAATGTACTTAGTCTAAATGGCAACATCATCTGGAGCCTTTCAATCCTGGATAGCCAGCAAAGCCAGCCCACATATATAGGAAGTGATGACTGTTAGCGCATACTAAATGGTGAGAAACAAAAGGAGGAGGCCACCATAGACCACTGGCTCATATTAAAGGAAATGACAATGACACAAGTCTTAAAATAAACCACCTCTTCTTGTCCATTCTGGCTGTCATTTCAGCTGTTACCCTTGTGGCTCTCGGCTTCTTGACTCAGCTTTCTTCTTTAATCTCTTCATGTTGGAAAAACATCCTTCAACCACAGAGCCACACGATCCACAAGCTTTCCAGTCAAATTGACAAATCAGAAACTTTTCAAAAGTTGCCAGAAAGCTCCCATCAATCAGGTGTTTTTGGATAAAAGCGTGTCTTTTTCCGGCTAGTTGGTTTGGGAACCGAAAACGAAAGGCGTCTGGGCTGCCAGGCTGCCAGGCAGTGGATCTGAGAGAGCTGGTGGTGAGACCTTGGGTCACACTATAGAGGAGAGTACTGGGTAAGGAGAGGGTCAGCAGGAGCAAATGGCTGAAAGAGTCCCATTCATGGAGCAAAACCAGGAAAGGAAAGCAGTGTGTATTCCAAACTCAACGTCAGGGCTCAGTGGGTCTAACCAAGCTTGATTTCACCATCTATGAGGCTGACTCAGCTCCCATTCTCGGAGTGTTGATGGGACAGACCACCAAGGTTTTATGGAAGAATAACTATTTGTGAAATCAGAAATTAAATATTTCCTCTGCCTACATTTCCTATAAATATCACAATATATCAGTATATTGAACTAATAACTGATGTGTGAGAGTGAGGTAAAATTATTAATTATTTGTAGAGCATTTCCCTTGGCTTTGATGACATGTGGCAGTAAAAATGACTGGGATATTTGTACAGGTTACCCTCGTAAATGGCACTCTGTTTCACAGGAAATAAATCTACTTTACATTCCACACGTTTAGCGGCTCACATCTGCGCTCACTCTGCACGTAATTACCTACAACTACAGCCAGTGAGATTTGTTATTACTGGGGACCTTTAGTGTGTCACAACCTGTCAGTGCCGCCTTTCTGGACGGTAGTAAAACCATTTTAAGTAAGATGTATTAATATCTCATTCTAAAAGATTATGACTGGTTTATTAATTAAAACGTAGGAACCCTTTGAAGAAATTTCAAATACACCTACGCACAAAGTCCCATAGTGATTTCTGCTCATTCAGTCCCCTGTTAGATGTCCATCCAGCTCCAGGTGGCTTTGCTGGAGGTTCATAATGAAGTGTTGTGTCTGGCCTTCCTGCCCAGGTGTTGCTGCGGCTCCGTAAGAGCCAAATCAAACACACCTTCAGTCAGAAGCCAAAAACCTGGATGCTGCCTCGCCTGTGAGGTCCCACTTAGTTCAGCATGATATGTGGACACTGAGTGACATTGATTGAAATCATGCTCTTCACCTTGTTTAATCTCTTTACTTTCATTAACACATGCTTATTTCCAGCACTGCAGATCAACTGACTGCAGTGGTCGTTGTGGAGGTTTAGGCTGTTTAGGCTGACATGTTACAAGGAAACCACTTCCGCTGGTAGAGAGAGAGGCCCACGCCCAAATGCACACTTATTGTCTGATCACTGGCATTGTGGTTTTGCCGTTTTGATCTAGAGGGGGAGTGGCGTTTTGCACTGCTATGTTTCTACAGTAGCCCAGGACGGATGAACCAATGCTTGAAACGGGAGAGTGAGGCGAAGGCATTGTAATCTGCAACTACACTGCAAGAAGCCATTAAATCATACACACAGGTCCATTAAGACTTGAATCAAACTTTTTGAGATATGTTGTAATATACAAAGTTCATTCAGTTGTATGATATCTGTAAAAACAGCTTTTTAAATCAGTAGTAACAACAAAACAGAGCAACAGACCAAGTCAGTAAATCACAGTAGTTTATTGCACTAGAGAAACAGCCAACTACACAGCTAATGCAAATAGTGCTTTAGGCCCATCAAGTGAAAGTTAGCCTTAGCTAAATTAAAACTGAATTCTGTAAAAAAAAAAACGTAATTTCATATAACTAGACAAAGCAGTTAATCCAATCATCTTCCATCTCAGCTTTTGAGTCACGTGATTTGTGGTGTGGTTTAAGAGAAATAAAATAAGTTTAAAGTTAAATACGTTTATTTTCTTAAACAATATTGTTAGTTTGTACGGAACAGTATTGCATTCACTTGAAAAAAAAAAACGTACATTGCTGATCTGAATGGGCTTTCCTTCTGAACATCCGCAAAATCCTCAGATGCCTGCGTAGAGTCGACAAACTAATAATAATGCCATCTATATGACTTAAAGACAGGACTATTGCTGCACTACACTTTCCAACTTGGGCTCTGGGTTTACGAGACAAATGGATAGCACCATATCTCCCAGTGTCTTAAACCCAGATCCCCAGAAACCCAGAAGTAAAACTTGATTGAACTAAACAAGCTGGTTATGTTTGTTTCCGTTAAATCGAGCTCTCAATAAAGGAATGAATGCGTCTATTGTATCAAATGCTCTCTAAACTCCAAAAAAAATATTCAGAAAATCAGAAAAAAATTACTCAGAAAACAAAAAAAAAAAAGTACTCAGAAAAACACAAACAATTTCTCCAAAAAACAAACAAAAAAATAAATTGTCATGTGAATGCAATACGCTTCCGTAAGTTTGGACATGAAAGCTGAAAGAACATTGTCCATGGCACCTCACGTTCCCTGAAGATTATCCATTAAACAGATTACAGTATCTTCACTCATGCATCTGCAGTTTTAGGTACTTATGTGGGTTTCTATGGTAATTATTTTTGGGGTAAAATAATGAACCTTAAAAGGTATAAAATGAAGGCATTATAACTGTTCTATCTGTTACACCATTTACAAGCCAGCCTGAAAACTTTAAACCCCTTTCTTTCAACTTCTGTGTAGTTACTCCTGCCTGCCCTTTAATGGCATTTTTTGACATTTACATCAGTGAAGCCTGTAAAGTTAAACTAAAATGAACAGAAAGAGAAAGTATCTTTTGCCCTAAAATTACCCCTGACGAACTGATGTTGACGAAATGATAACAGATGGAAAAAGGGATGTTGAACAACTCTAGAAACAAAGGTACTTTTGTACATGGTCAGTGGTGACATGCTGAATACAGCACTATTGATGTAAAGGTTTTGGCTCTGAGGTTGGCGCACAGGAAGAAAGAAAACCTCCATCAAGTCTTACTCAGATTAGAAAATTGGGGTAAGAGGGGAAGTAATGTGCAGGTTTACTGGCAGGCCTGCGTTGATTAGAAAGGGGGTAGTGTTCATGGTGAAGGGGAGCAGCAGTATTCAGTAACAGCACCTCTTCCTTTAGCCAAAGCCAACATGTGGTGCCGACCGACACAGAGCAGCAGTGGCAGCAGCAGCAGCACCCCCAGTTTCTGCTTCCCTTTCAGTTCATTATTGCATTTCACGGTTCCCCAGAAGAAGGCTAAGAATGTGGTTTAAAAGTGATGTAAAACTGAGAACATGTTTTGAGCGTGTAGGAGGGTAATGCACAACCAACCAACACACCACAGATGTTTGACTTTCTGAAGTAACAGACTTAAACTTAAATTTCCACACATATGGGTCAATGGCAACACAACTGGTTCATTAAACTAGAGTGACCTTCTTTAACATACCATAACATCGACCTATCAACGTTTTTTCAGACGATGACGAGTATTTGGGCACATGCTTATGTTAATATTTGTTTTTGTGTGTGAGTCAGGTGAACTATCACAGTTACACCTCTGACCAACAGAAAACAGATGAGTCACATTTCATAAGTGTGGCTGCCCAAAGATGTAAAGACTCTTACTTCCCTAAGCAACACACACACACACACACACACACACACACACACACACACACACACACACACACACACACACAAACACAGATCACACAGATATGTTCCCCTCCATGGTGTGTCCATGTTATTTCACTCACTCGGGGACATCACTGACTATCTGTCTGCTTCTGCAAGTTGTAATTAAAATACATTGTGAACTTACTATGATCAATAATTTCGAGGTCCCTCTGTGTGATTGCACAACATTTCTCTGGTTTTTGGTGGGATTTTTGCAAAGACCTTTAGCAGTCCAAGCCACTCGGCCGCTCCCTCTAGGAAAACTATATAAATAAACATGAGGGTGTAAAACTTCAGGTGCACCTCAATCATTTTTTTCTTCTTGGTCTTTCCCGGCTTGACCTGCCTTAAACTCAGAGGCTCTGCTCCAAAGATGCCTTTGCTGCTGCTGGCTGGCAAACCTCATCGGCTGCAGTTTCATGCCCTTTACGGGAGGCTCACACTTCCTTTGGCTGCCCCGCGACCTTCATGCCCACAAAACCTCTGTAACCAATATCAATATTTGCAAGGTATTGTATTGACCAATTCCTGACTTCGATAGATTTCATTATCACATATGAACCACAATGAACGTTCAAAGGATGAAAACATTAGGGCCTCTTTTAAAAACTATGAAATATCTTAGGCCTGCAATTACACTGCACAATTTCAGCCCAATAATGGTTGAATCCTACGTACGTGGGTTATCAGGAATCATAATGTTGAATGGGACAGTTTATGGTTTTATTCCATGCTTGTAGCACACTTCACAAGGCCTTCTGTCATCTACTTTGACAGCATGTACACCATACCCCATGACACCACGGTTGTTGATAGTTCTGATCCTTTGTGTCCGTAACATTGACATAAAACAGCAAAATTTAGTTTGATTAATTGATTGATGATTTGAATGTCTTACAAAAATAGCATGTGAGGATTTGAAGTTGTTTAATCATGACACACATGAGAAACTGTATGTTTTTGACAAAGTGGCTTACCATAGTAAAAAAGCAGCAGAATTAGTCCAGGTTTCATGTATCAGTTGACTTGTCTCGCACCCGGTAACAGGAGCAGCTCAACAACTAACATAGTGAACATGATGAAAGACTAAATGTTGTGTCATCTCATCTCGAAAGCTCCAGCATTAGATGTGTTGCATAAAGGACCAGTGTGTAACATCAAGCTGTCTAGTTGCAGATTCCAACTTCCTCATTTCACCTGAGCGTGAAGGAGAAACAACGGTAGTTGTGAAACATGTGCAAACGTGCAATGGGCCTATCTAGGGTCAGTGTGTGGTTGTCACGGAAGGTGACCCGCAGCATCTGTAGATAAAAACAGCTCATTCTAATGATTCATATATTCAGATGATTATACACTAATGAAACATATGCATATAATAATAATTTCTGCCAATAGATCCTCTTAAATGTTACTGGACCTTTCAAAATCCTTGTGGCACATCATCTTTTCCTGATCTACATATCCCCCTTTGTTATTGGCATAGATTTAACAATGCCCTCGATATTATTATAAAATACTCATTCCTTCCTTGATTCCCAGTCAAAGTGATTCTGCAGCGAGATGAATGTCTACAAGATGCCAACATGCACACAGGAGCTGTGGCTGAGGCTGTGCAGTCCCGCTGCTTTCTGTTGACCCGCTGGATGATTTGTAAAGTGGTTCTTTGACGCCTGGTTGGAGATGTTATCAGAGTCTGGGAAGTCTGCTCTGTCTCTCTCCTCAGGTCTGCAGCACTCATAAAACAGCAGTAATAATAAGAGAGTGTTTGTGAGTGCAGTGGAGAGGAGTGAGGGAACAGTGTCTGGGATTGTGTCTGTAGGGCCCCGTAGGGCCCCGAGACTCAAATCTCCCCCACACACCGTGTTTTTTCTGGGTGGGGGTCTTTCTGTAGAGTCTCTGTGATCCACTGCTAAACCAGGTCAGATAGGAAGGAGTTTTCTTTCTTGCTTTCTAGTAATTTGTAAAGTTGGCAGCATGGTTCATTGAATTCAAATTACCATGAAGTTAGAGGATTGTGCATGAGGTGAGGCTTTTTTTTTTGCTGCTTTCATGTTTAAAGCATGCTTTTACACTGAATGAAAATAAATGTGACAAATCTACAGTCATCAAATTCCTAAGATTGTTCAGAATAATATCCTCATTTAACAGAACTGTCAGTGCCTCCTACGTAGATATTAAAAAGAAACCACACAAGATCCAGTGAGAGGTGTAAACTCACTATTAACACCTGGATGTAGTAGAAACATGTCTCTGTGTGTTTGTGCTTGGTAGGGGGATGATGTTATTTCAGTGAGGTAGCAAATGGGCGGGGTCAATGGGACCACTAGGGAAAGTTAAATGCTTTGGCTGAAACAGTCTGGACAGTCAGTGGAGGTGTAGCTTTTCTTTGTAGGTGCATGCACTGAGCGCATATAGTGACATCTGATGAGTTTGAAACTATTTAATCCTCACTGCACAATGATTTGGTGACAATATAGTGAATACTCGCTATTTTGACTGTCACAGGAACCATGGCAACGACAGCTCTGACCGGGTTCTCTATGATGAGCCTGCTCAGCCTCGGGTACCTGACCTGGGACCTGATGAGTCCTAATCAGGTGGAAAACGAGGGAGAGCAAACTTTCGTTGACAGATCTCCTGTCCAGCAGCCTCCTCACATCATTTTCATCATGACAGACGATCAGGGATTCAACGACATCGGCTACCACAGCTCTGACATCAGGACGCCGGCGCTGGACAAGCTGGCAGCGGACGGAGTGAAGCTGGAGAGTTATTACATCCAACCCATCTGCACCCCGTCCCGCAGTCAGCTCATCACCGGCAGGTAGAGGGTTTGTGCTCAGAGTTTAGACTCGTCTAAAACACAAATATGCTAAAGTTTTTCCACAATCTGTTGTTCAAAAAACAAAGACAAAAACTGTAAGATAATTATACATTTATACATTTATACATTATACACATATATAAGCATATAAGCATATACCATTCAATGCAGCTAGATTTTGATTTTTTTATGTTCTCAATGAATAATCTACAAACAAATTAAACAAACATAAAAGTATGACTTGGCAAAGAACCTCAGTGATCATTTTTTAATTGAGATTTCACTGCGATTTGAAACGAAATTTTGTTGTATAAAAAACCGAATTATTACAAATCTGAATGGAAATTATGGATTATTTGTTGAAAACCTTTAGCATAAACTTTAATGTGAGATCTGAGAATAATGTCATCATTTTGATTAAATATTTCTGTGGTTCTGATGATACAAGTACTGTGTATTTTCTTTTTTTAATCTGAATTATACATACCTGAGATAGGTAAAACAAATGTTATAAATAAACTCAGATGAAGTGTCAGACAAAAACAGCACAACAAAAGTGTGGGCAACAAACCTTTTTCACAGCTCTTTATGTGGCTTCAGCTGTCTTCACTCTCACAGTATTTGTTAACCACACATGCAGCCAAGGGAGGAAATGGTAACAACCTCCTTCTACCCTCATCTTGTACCTTACCATCTGATGGATCAGATTATTGTTAACCGACAGGTTTCTTTATCATTAACCCTACAGGTACCAGATTCACACCGGCCTGCAGCACTCCATCATCCGGCCCCGCCAGCCCAACTGCCTGCCCTTTGACCAGGTCACCCTCCCCCAGAGACTGCAGGAGCTCGGCTACTCCACCCACATGGTCGGCAAGTGGCATCTGGGCTTCTACAAGAAGGAGTGCCTACCCACTCGCCGTGGTTTTGACACATACTTTGGCTCCCTAACGGGCAGTGTGAACTACTACACCTATGACTCCTGTGACGGCCCTGGGATGTGTGGCTTCGACCTCCATGAGGGGGAGTCGGTCGCCTGGGGTCAGAGGGGCAAATACTCCACCCATCTATATACACAGAGAGTCCGCAAGATCCTGGCAACCCATGATCCTCAGTCCCAGCCGCTGTTTATCTTCCTCTCCTTCCAAGCTGTTCATACACCATTGCAGTCTCCGCGGGAGTACATCTACCCGTACCGTGGGCTGGAAAATGTGGCACGCCGGAAATATGCTGCCATGGTCTCAGCCGTAGACGAGGCGGTGCGCAATATAACATATGCTCTCCGCAAGTATGATTACTACCAGAACAGTGTCATCATCTTCTCTACTGACAACGGTGGCCAACCATTGTCTGGCGGCAGTAACTGGCCACTCAGAGGACGTAAAGGCACCTACTGGGAAGGTGGTGTGCGCGGTCTGGGGTTCGTCCACAGCCCTCTCTTGAGGAAGAAGAGGAGGGTGAGTAAAGCCCTGGTGCACATCACTGACTGGTACCCCACACTGGTGGGATTAGCAGGTGGCAATGAGTCGCTGACCGAGGGGGTGGATGGGTATGATGTTTGGGAGGCCATCAGTGAGGGGAAGGAGTCACCCAGGTTGGAGATCCTCCATAATATTGATCCTCTGTATAACCATGCACGCAGTGGCTCCCTGCAGAAAGGATTTGGGATTTGGAATACAGCTGTGCAGGCCTCCATTCGAGCTGGAGACTGGAAACTACTGACAGGAGACCCTGGCTACGGAGACTGGACACCACCACAGATGCTTCCAGGTTTCCCCGGCAGCTGGTGGAATCTGGAGCGCCACACTGAACCCCGGAAATCTGTCTGGCTTTTCAACATCTCCGGAGACCCCTATGAACGTTTTGACCTTTCTGAGCAGAGACCAGATGTTGTCAAAGAGCTGCTGGCTAGATTGGTGTACTACAATCGCACTGCTGTGCCAGTAAGGTACCCATCAGAGGACCTACGGGCTGCCCCCGACCTGAATGGAGGTGCCTGGGTGCCCTGGGTAGCAGATGAAGAGGAGGACAGCTGGGACAGTGTCTACCAGAAAAATAACAAGGATTGGAAGAAGAAGCTTAAACTGTCCAAAAGCAGGTCGTTTTTCAGGAGACTCAACACAAGGATCATGTCCAACAGGATATAGAAAGGACATGGTGCTTCGGAAGGACAAAGTCATATGAAGGAGAGTTCTGTTTGTGGATGGAACTTTTTGAAGATGTGTTTGTGTTTGTGTTTGTGTTGAACAAATAACCAAGACTTTTCAGGCTCCGGCTACAGTTACTGTTCAGTCTCTGTAGAAGAACTGATGAAAGAAGTCCGATGAAAGCATTAATTGTTCAACTGGTTTGTATCCACTTTAAATAAAAAATATGTGTGACCCTAAATTTAATATTCAGTTCTGAAAAATTAGGGTTGATTCCATCTTACAAGATGATACAAGTATGTAAGCAAATGTGTTTTGTTAGCGTACAAAAAAACTGTTCTCCAGAGAGTGTGAGAGAAATACAAAATTGTTTTTTATATAATGACAATCACTGGGTTTGACACGGATGACAAGGTGACAAAGACAAATCATCTGCAACCATTTGTAACTATAATGAATACAACTGATGACTACCTCTCTGTCAATGTGACATTAGAATGATTTATTGAAACTCCAGTTCTAAACTTATTCTATCTGTTGATTTAGGTAATTTAAAATAGAAGAATAATATTAGAAGAATATAATTTTTTTACTTGTTGGGGAAAGCATCTTGATAAAAGTTTACAACTCTGAGTCTTTATGCCAAGTGTCCTTTTCTGTTCATCATATTCTATTTATCACATTTTGAATTAAAATTTGCTTAAAGGTCCAGTGTGTATCATTTAGTAGGATCTATTGGCAGAAATGGAATGAAATATTCATAAATATGTTTTCTTTATAATGTGTAATCACAACAATTGTTGTGTTTCTGAATGAACATTTTTTTATCTACAGAGGGAGTGGGTCCTCTTCTATGGAGGCCGCCATGTTGAATGGCCATGTTCATGTACAGTACCAACAAACCACACAGAAAGGACAAACCAAACACAGGCTCTAGATTTCATGGCCACCGTAGCTTCTCCTACGCACTTGGAGGGGTGAGCTGTATTCAAATGCAATTTGCAACTCCACCACTAGATGCCACTGAATGCTATACACTGGGCCTTTAATGGAATTAAATAATATTTACTTTTTTGTATTCAGTTTTTCACAAATGTCATTTTAAATGTCACTTCTTTATAAACCTAATGAACCATTATTTTCACATAAATAATTTTTGAAAGTTACTTTAAAGTAAAAAAAAATATATACTTCATGACATTGTACCAACACTTCATTGCTGCTATCTGATGCTTACCTTCACAGGAACCTTTAAAAACCCAAGACACCATGACTTTATGGTTGTACCATTACTTAAAATGTAAATATTCTAAATGTTTTTTTCATCTTTTCATACACATTTCCGTCTACTGACCTTTGTGTTTTTGTTACTTCAGAATGAGCCTTGAGGGGGTGGTTCCTCTTCTGCCAAGTCCACAACTATTTGCAGTTAAGTGCAATGCATCACGGCAGCAATTTAACCTAGAATCAAATCATTATTCTTGTGGAAAGAAGTTTGGATCATGTGCTCTACAAGCAGACACAAAAAGCATCAAACAGTTCAAAACTGTCTGTTCAGCATGTAGAAGGTTGTCCACAGAAATGGTTGCTGGTCTGGAACACAGAAACTTATAAAGTTGTCCTTCTACACACCGGGATTAGAGTTAAGGTTACCCTAACCTACAGATAGATCTGTAGGGAACTTGTGTCCCCATAATGAATTCTGACATTTTAATTGTTACTTGGCACTGACAGATCTCAGGCCTCTAAGGTTAACTACAAACATCATTTGTGTTTGAACAGTTTCAGTTTTGCAGTCGACCACATTTGCATGTGTGCGTTATTATACTTGTCACTTCCATTTTTTAACTTTTTTTTTTTTTTTAACTTTTTCTTTGGCAAGTTAATACTTCAAAAACAAAATCTTGCAAAATAAAACAAAAAGTTGCCTTGGCAAATACTTCCCATAAACTGTGGCTGGAACATGATGCAATTGTTGTCCCAGTCACACGATGTTACTTAATGCAATCCTGAGATTTGACAGATGAGATTTCAACAAAGACATACTGTAGCCATTTTATAAGATCACCTCACTGCAGCATGATGTGGAAGTGAGAACACTTCATTTCCTGCGTCCTAACCGCTGTACCAAACCGTCACCCCTTTAACATTTCTTGTCATCTTGTACAACCTCTGGGCTGATGCTCATCATCTTTGTTTCATTGCATTAGCTCTAACACTGCTTAGTTCATCGTTTTTCTGGAGAACGAAGGAAGATGGGGCAAGTTATCATTCTTCTTGTGATATTAGCCGGAGTAACGTCAAACGGTAAAACCCTCACTTAAAAAGCACTTTTCAGAAACATTGCAATGATGTGCAAAAGATGAATTATTCATACGGATATTTTTTGAATATACTTTTTCTTTTCTTGTAACTTTCTTCCCAGCTGCTGAGACTATGTGTAATGCCATGCACAACACATCTCAGTGCACTGTTACCCTCGGAGGCTCAGTGTATATCCAAATTATGACCAATGCAAGCGGCTATAAGGTGCGATGTCAAAAACAGCTTCCCACTGCATCCACAACTGTGTTATATATGAACAAAGACAAGGTAAAGATAGAGGGGCCATTGACCGACAGGGCAAAGTTTTACATCAACAACGGGACGCTGAAGATCACAAACGTGGAGAGGAATGATTCTGGACTATACACCGTGGACGTCTTTAATTCCGATGGGGTCCGCGTGCAAAACATTAATATAAACTTGGATTGTCAAGGCAAGTGTTTTGAAATTGAATCCTCATCGTCCAACTTATTTACCCCTTTATATTCTTGTATAATACTCTACAGTTAATCAAAACTGTAATCATCGTGGGGGAATGAAAAAAATACAAAACTCAAGTTTGAATGAATGAAAGCAGAAAACATGAGAATCATCTATCATTAATCATGTTCTGCAGCTTTTTCCAGATTGTTCATTGAGAAACACTTTACTTTGTTTAAAATACCTGCTGATATGAAGGCTGGGTTGTGTTTCTTCTAAGAGCTATTTCCAAGAACTGGTTTATATCTTCATTAGGTGACATTTCCTATTGCTATTCGTATTACTAGTAGTACTATTAATACTGTGTGACTCAAATTTACGGAAGTTGGTGACAAATGTGCTTGCAATTATTTAAAATTCTTTTAATTTATTATTATTGTTATTATTCATTTTTATTATCATGTGTTCATTTTTGTTATCTTGAGAAAATAAGCTTTTTTATCTTGAGATTATCAACCAGTTATCACAAGAAAACAAAAGGTTTCCTCTTATTACTTGTCAGAGATCAGGAGTTGCACACCAGAATGTATGGGATTATTATAGATGTTTATGTCCATGTAAATGTCAATCTTCTGATGTATTTCATCAGTATTGCATAACATTGTCAACAACTCTTTCAGTTTAGTGATCTCTGGAAAACCAAAAGTCGTTTTCTCTTGATAAATTATCTTGTAGAAATGTGTTTTATTTTCCGAGATAACAAAATAATAAACTCTGATCTCTGATCTTAAAACAGCATTGGAAAAAAATAAGCAATTGCAAGCACGGCTGTTCTGGGCTTTCACAGAAAATCTACTTACATATGATAAAAATATAACTGGGTCTTGCATTGCACGGCAGCACATTGCACCTGAGAATATGTTTAAATGTAGACAGAAACTCTCCATTTAGTCTCTGACTATTTTTACATTTACAAAATATAGGCCTACTCTGTGGGTGACCTTTGAAAGAAAGTTCCTTTTTTGCTCTGCTCTCATCAGTGCACATCAGGAACTTTCTGTGTTTGGCAGCTTGGGTGTTATTCTCAGTTTGTCCATTATGATTTTGGCCATGATAGTATTTTACTCCCAAAACAAATAATCAATCAGAGTAAGGTGTGTGAACCTGCTATAGTTTTTATACAACAAATATCAGCCAATAAAGTTAAATCAAATAACATTTTTAGCTTGTCAGTCACCTCAAAAACCTGTAGTCTTTAAGTGTATAAACCAAAAATAAGCACAGAATGTTTTCCTCTGGACATTCATCTAGCTCCTGTACTATAGAGCTGTAGATGTCAGATTATCATTGATACTTGTATTTGGATCTGTTTGTAGAGCCCTTAGTTATTGCATAGTGGTAGTTGGAAAAAAACAGCAGGATGTGTACCTTCTTAGGATATCTTATGTTTTGCAATAATGAAACTACCGTAACCAACCGGGGCACACCCACAGTTGAAGTGGATCTCCCATGTTATGCAGTTTGCCACAATACAGAGGAAGAATACCTTTTTTCTGATTCAAATCACTTTCATATTCTGCATAAGTTAGCTGAGGGAAAATGACCAAAATGTGATATATGAATAACAAAAAAAAAAAAAAATAAGGCATGTTTAAATGCAGTACATGCTGTAAGTCTGTATAATTACCATTGTGTTTTTTTTCTCCCCAGAATCTGATTTGCCCCTCTATATCTACATGGGTATTGCAGCGGGTGCTCTAATAATAGTGGTGATAGTGGTATCGATATGTTGCTTTGTCTGCAAGAAAGTGAGACATGATAAGAAGCCACGTAAGATTTCTCCAGTCTGTTTGTATTTCAGCATTCCACTCATTACCATAATATATTGATGGAAACATCAAAGTCTTTTTGTTCTGCTTTAACTGCACAATCATTGTACTTTATTCTATCTTTTGTGCAGCCACAGTTATATATATATAACTGAGAATAAACACCTTCAATACGAGGACTTTGACGAACTGGACCAAACCGAGGACTGGCAATGGCAAACAACACTTTCAGCATCACTTGTGAGCTGTAAAAATCTTTGGAGCTTTCTTTTTGTGTCTTGAATTAGTGTTGAAAAAGATTAATGGCATTATAATTGTAGTGCAACAGCGGCAGCAGCAGCATATTGTAACACCATATCAGTACATTTGTAAATCACTGTAGTTTGATCTGCTCTTTGTTAAACAACAGCAAAAGATTGCTGATCATAATTCACACACCAGATGTCTTTTAAGGTCTTAAGCATGTACTTGATCCATTTCAAATACTGGGATATTGTTATATTCTATATTTTTGCATTATTATTACCACCATTTTATTGATATAAACAAACCTTTAATAGCACCAGGTAACATCACTAACAATTAAAAAAAGATATATTGCACAGATAAACACAGAACAAAGGCAGACACATTGAACCCTAAACTAAAAAACAAACAAACAATACAAATATACTAATAATAGCACATAAAACATACTAATAACAAAAGAAATGTTACGCTAAAGCCTGCCAGTTACTGCTGCTCGGCTTGGCTGTGTGTGTGCGTATGTGAGCACATGAGTGTGTGCGTGACTCTGCAGGAAGGAGTGAGAAAAAAAAAGGGAACCAAAAAGGAAGATTAAGGAGTGACGTTTTTAATTTACAAATCAATTAAGGAGGTGAAGGAGAGGGATTTAAGACTAGAGAGAGAAAACAACAAAACCGACAAAAAAAACAAAGAAATAATAATAATAATAATAATAATAATAATAATACAAATAATTAACTATATAAGCGGCCCACCCAAAGTAGACATAAAAACACCAAAAGAAAAAACAAAACACATGTGTAGTAGTATGTAATAGTAATAATAATATTAATCAGTATACAAACCAACATTATCATACAGTAAAAATGTGTAATAAAACATCACTGACGATGATTTAGATCTGGTGTGCTTTTGCTGAAATTCATATCAGTCAAAGACTTAAAAGATTACCAGGAACTAGATGGCTGCAGTAGTTTATTTCTAACTGTCCAGCTGGTTATTAGGTGATGCTGAAGCTCATTAGTCATGTTGTGTTATGACGACATCTGCTGGCTGTGTTTGGGTTTCACTTGCATTATGTCATAGTTAACTAACATTACTTTATATATATCTATATATATCTATCTATCTATATATCTATCTATATATCTATATATCTATATATCTATATATCTATATCTATATCGATATGTATATAGATGTTTGTTTTCATAATATACTTTGTAGTTACAGAGACTTCACAGTTGTTTGCAATATTTGTTTAATACTTTTTCTATGTATATGTTGGAAGTTATTATCACTGTAAATATTCACTGAAATATCCAATAACCTATGTCTAGTTTTAATTTACACAGTCACACTGTGTACACATTGTGTAAATGTTTTAATCCAAATGTTCATCCGTGTCAAATCCCAAACCATGATTCAATTGCCCGAATGTAGCAGCCAGGAATAATAAAATAAAACAGAGTTTTGTGGCAGAAGCTGGGTGTATGGTTGCTATTATATGGCAGTTTTATTTATGCTTGTTTTACTTCCTTTATAGTTGAGTGCAAAGAGGGTCTTTCCTGAACATCTTATCTCAGCACACACAATTTGAGAAACTATTTACAAGCTTCTGTTAAAAGGTTCAGTCTCCAACATCAACAAGGACACATTCTCTTAAGCTTACGTAATAATTGTTGCACAAACCAGTGAAAAATAAGCTCTTGAATTACTCAACATGTTTCCAACATAAGTGCGGAAATGAGGAGACAGATAGGCTGCAATGTCCTGGTTTCTATATGATGAAATATTACTGTGATGTTGTTTGAATGAAATGAAACATGAGTGTGGTGATGGCCTGAGACTAAAATGACTTCATACAAGTTTCAATATAATTGAATACAAACATCCTGGGTATGGAAATATCAATACAATATTATATTAATATATTAATTAATATTCGTAGGCACGCCCGCCGATAGGGGGGGACAAACGGGTCTGTTGTCCCGGGCCCAGGGTACAAGGTACCCGTCAGAGAGTCTGAGCAGAATGGATCAGAGACTGATCACACACACTTAATTTCAGCGATCCTGCATTATGGCCAACTAGAATGACCGACTCTGATTCAAGATTCAAGATTCAAGAAGCTTTATTTATCACGAGGGAAATTACTGTGCAACAGTTTCAATACAAAGGTGTTAAAGTAAAGTACTACAGGGTAAGAGTAAAAATACGCTAACATAAAATAAAATAAAGGCTAACATAAAATAAATCAAACAATTAACTAAATAATAGAGTGAACCTCGTACATGTGATGGCGCCTTTCTCAGAGAGGGCAAAGGAATTGCCAGCAGATGCAGAGGTCAGGGAATTCCCAAACTATCTGACATATTCCACATCCCACAATGGAAGGGAAAAAAATCGACAGGGACTGGATAGTATATAGCAGCTCCAAAAAGGCCTTATTTTGCCTACCATGCTTGCTGTTCTCCTTTGAAGTAGAGAAAAAATGAACTAGGGCACTAAATTCCAGAATTTTACAGAAAGCTTTATGAGAGATTTCCAGAACATGAAAGAAACCGTGCACACAAACATTGCTATTGGAAGGAGAGGAAGAGCAGAGGAAAAGGCGAGATCTGGGCGTGGGGGGGCCCATCTAAGATGATCTCGTCCCTGGCCCAGGCAAGACTGTCAGCTGGCCTGTTTGTAGGTATGTTTTCCCAATTCCCATTTTTTCTAATTCTAGTTTTGATGGTTTAAAAAACATTTGTACACAGTCATCATGTACAATTATAGATGAGATATAAACCAGGAACATTACAGAGAAATATAGCTTGAGTAATCAGACCACTGTGGCCTATAGCATGATATGAATGTACATATTTTAGCAACTTGGGTCTGTATTTGTCTTAAAAATAAGGAACTAAAATCAAAAAAATCTGTTGAGTTATACACCAATCAGCCATAACGCTGCCCCATATGCAACAATTGTGTGATGCACTCTGTTTTCTGACACCTTTCTGTCAGAACCAGAATTAACGTTTTGTCTCTGTCGTCTAACCATCACAATTTGGCCCTTTTGAAGTCGCTCATATCCTCACTGGCCCATTTTTCCTGCTTCTAACACATCAACTTGGAGGACATAATGTTCACTTGCTGCGTAATATATCCCACCCACTGACAGGTGCAATGATAACCGGATAATCAGTGTTATTCACTTCACCTGTCAGTGGTTATATATGATTCTGACAAAAGATAAGATAATAATCCTCTGACCGCAGATTGGTTTTATCAAAGGAATAAAGAATAGGGACATTTTGCCTGCATCTCTTCTGGCACTTTCTTTTAGCTGGTTGTAAACAAAACATAAAATTGAAAAGAAATACAAATTGATGAACGTATAATAAAGTCTTAATGCAGAGCCTGAGACATGAACATAATGTTCTGAACATAAATGAGTAACTGACGTGAGCAGTTGGCTGCAATATACTGTTTCCTTTCTGTGAAACAGAAAAATAAATGCTGTTTTACTGTAATCATGTATTGAGTCTGATAATATATGTATGTATATGTTGTCGATGATACTAAAACACCTTTATGTTGGTAGAATTATTTCAGTCCATTTGGCAAATAAATGTGGGTTTAATTATATTATGTTGACCCTGAAAAGCATCGTCGATGAACACATATACGTTTTACAAGACTTTCTGGTTTACAAGATCTTTATAGTAATTAAAGCAGTGTAACTTCAAAGTGGAAATTAATTTGAAACAAAAATACTAGAAACATTTTAATGATGTTACATCAGATATTTTCTGAGCATTCAATTTGCATTCATTTTGGCTCTGCCTATCAAAAATAGAGGAAAAGATAGGTACAAAGTGGTGGTGTGTATTTGTCTGATAACAGAAAGAAAATATGGTTGCAACTGAAGAATGAGAAGTTATCAATAAGCAGAAAACTAGTGGTTTCTGGGGCTTTTTTAGGGTGGATGACTTTGCTACATTAACTGTCCTTCCTTTTTTTCCTCTCAACTGTTGTCACAACGCATAGTCAGGGGAACTTTCTGACGCTGATCACTAAAAGGAGACGTTTCAGGCTGCTCAGAGTGTGCACATGTTAGATATTGAATAAAGTAGAGAGGTTTGTCTGGAAGCTGCTGACTGGATCAAAACACTGAGGAGACATGGAAGCTGCGATTGGACTGTTGCTGTTGGTACTCGGAGTCTCAAATGGTGAGATGTTTAACTTGTTTATGAAGCTGTGGCATCAAGTAAATTTAAAAAGTACAATCTCACGTCATCACACTGGGGCCAAATTAAAACAAGTACAAATTATGACATACAAATTAAATATAATTTCATATAATGTTCAATGACTGCCATAAATCTATGATACTGAAAAAACCTGAAACCTGTTCTAGTGTTTTCTTAACTGATGGCTCGTATATAAATTCTATAAACATATGGCGGTATATTCAATCTTTTTCTGAAATTGAAACTGAGATACAAATAACAGATACAGAAGATATACAAGATGAAATTAATGATTATGATTAAATCTCTCGTCCAAAAGCTTTTTTTAGTTATTAATTTTATTCTCACTCAATTACTGTAAATAAGAGAACTGCAACTAAGTTATAAAGTAAATGTTGAATCCTAATCCTAATCACGCATTTTGGCTCGATTGCACAAGAACATGTCTGCATTAAGAGAGTAACACAGGTATAGTTCACCGATAAAGTTTTAAGTTTAAAAAAAAATCTAAGCTCTAACATTTAGGAGGAATATAATATTTGTAGGTATGTTTTCCCTAGTGTATAATCCCTTCGCTGTGTTTTCGTTACATTAGTTTAGAATAAGCCTCTTTATCTATAGAGGAAGCAGATTTCTACAGAAGCTCACTTAGCGCCTCACAACCCACTCGGTTCCTTCTTACCATTTCACCCTTCCGTCCATTCATCCATCCGCCAACAAACCCCCTTTCTTCCATTCGTTCATCCGTCACCCTTCCTTACGATACCCCTTCATTCCTCAACCTTCAAGCCTTTATCCCTCAACTCTTCATCCCCTCATCCACCATCCCTCAACCCCTACCACCATCCCTCGACCCCTACCACCATCTTGACCCTCATCAGCCATTACGTGCAATAAACCTTTCTAAATTCCTCATGTTCATAGGCGTGGTCTTTGTTAGTGAATATACTACATATATTAATTGGATTATTAGTTGTAGCTTTGTAATGTTGGCTAGTTTTAGCTAATTTACAGTTTTACAGATTGTTAGTTTTGTCTATGTCAGTGCATCATATTTTGTTTTTATGTTAAGAAACATTCTGAAATAAAGGTAATGAATCGGAAACCGATTTGAATCGGAAAATCGATTTTGATTTAAAAGATGCGAGTGCATCGGTACACGGACTAATAAATCGGTCATAATGTAGCTTTAACCGGCCGATGGCCCGATTAAAAAGTTATAAATTGGTTTATGCTGCTGAAAACCGCGTCTCTCTCTGACCATCTCTCGCTCCCTCCCTTTAAACTCTCGTGAGACTTGTTGCAGTTACGTCAGATAGCGCTATGAGTTTGTGAGGGAAAGTTTAAAAAATGGCTGACTCGGGCAGGATTCGCAACGCTCCGGCAAGTTTAAAGTCTAAAGTGTGGAAGAAATTAGGATTTTATTTAAAGAATGGAGTACTGGATAAAAGCTTCGCTATATGCAAAGACTGTAAAACTGCAATAAAGTACTCCAGTTGTACGAAAAATTAAAAGCATTAAGCATACATGAACTTCTTCACTGCGTGTATGGGATGAACATAAAATGGTCAAGTTTGTGTGCACGTGTGAGTGCACCAAGCATACAGTATTGGACACTGTCTCAGAAGAGTGAGAATTCTTCTTCTTTGAATTTAATTGACGTTGGAGAGCTCTTATGTGTTGTTACATGTTAATAAACATGACAAAAACTACAAATACACTTCTTCTCTTGTCTTTGATAAATCTTTTTGAAGGAAATGCCACATTTACAAGTTAATTCATTTTATGAAATGATTGTCTACTTTCAACAAGAAATCCATTGCATCATACCCTCTCGAATTGAGCCATGCCACATCGAATCGAATCGAAATCCTTCTGAATCAAACTGAATCGAATCGTTCCATTTTAAAATGTATCGTTCCTGAATCGTATCGCACCCCATGTATCGAGATACGCATCGAATCGTCTTTTATTGGAGAGATGCACACCCCTAGTACTTTAGTAAATGTACTTACAATATTTACATTACACCGCTGCTCAAAGGCCTGTGTAACTCTCAGTTACACAAGAATAACTTGCTGTTGGCAAACTGTGGTCTGAGAGAGACACAGCTGCTCCACTGTTTCTTGGGGTTGGACTATATCTCATTGTAATTGATTTTATAGACACTGAAGGAACAAAAATTCTTTACTTTTTTTCCCCTAACTTGTGTTTCAGGTGTGGAAACCTACTGTGATGGCAGACAGGATGGAGCTCAGTGTTATGGAGCTTTGGGAGGAACTGTGGTCCTCCAGCTGATGGACAGTGCCTCAGAAATATTTAGATACATATGGTCAAACAAACAAAGGATGATGCTGCATGGCAAACATAACAGGACAGTGTATAATCTGATAGCAGACAGATCTTCATTTACTCCCAGTGATGGAACATTTAGGATCAATGACCTGAGCAGGACTGATGGAGGTGAATATACTCTCATAATCTCTGATTCAAATGGACGCACATCAGTGCAGCGGACTCTACAGTTGATCATTCAAGGTAAAACAAAAAATTTCATAGAAATACATGTTAACTTCTATTGGTAAACTACATTATCTCATATTCTACATACTATATATGTATATGTACCTATTCTGTATTATATGTTGTATATAATGACTAAGATTATGTTACTATGAAAAGTAATCTGAGTGTGTTTCCTTCAGCTCCTGTGTCCTCTGTGCTGCTGGTTTCTGAGTGTCTGTCCAGGGGAGAGATGAAGGTGTCCTGTTCCTCTGAGGGAGGAGAAAGTCCTCAGTACAGCTGGACTCTAGATGGACACACACTGACAGACACTCAGCTCCTCTCTGGAAATAATGAGACTAACAACATCACTCTGAAACCAGACGTCTCAGGAAAACTGGTCTGCTCAGTCAGGAATCACATCAGTGGGATATCTACCTGTGGTGAGTCAGAACGTGAGTGAAGAACAGTTTGATAGTTATGACACTGATGATTAACTGTACGTCTGTTTGTTTCTTATAGGCTTCAGGTTCACTGACTGCAGCTTATCCAACGGGACACACATATTGCAGAGTGTGCGTGTATCCGGAAACACCCAGTGCATTGAGCCAACATCAGCCTCTACCACGATTACAGACACTTCTGAGGGTAAGGAGACTGGCGTTACGGTGTCAGTTAAACCCCCCACTAATATCCCATCCTCCAATCAAACTGTGACTTCTTCCAGCACAGACGACTCATGGCACTTAAGTAAGTAAAAACTAACTCTCCTGTCACATCTATAACATGTATGACATGTAATGTTTGTGTCTCTTTATCTGAACAGATCACTCCATGCTCATATTTGGTTTGCGAGCAGCTGTGGTGATTCTTATATTGAGTGGGATTGCTGTTTATTTTGTCTGGAAGAAGAAGAAATACGAGAAAGCTGAAGGCTCTGCCGTCTCTCGAAAGAGGGATCATCAAGAGAACTCTGTTATAATGGTTGAAATGAGAAGTTCTGCATCTGAACTTTAATTTTCTGGAACCAGAACCTTTGTGTCGCCTCTCACCTGCTGTGATCGGTCATGTGTCTTTATGGACGTGAAAATAGAGTTTAGAGCAGAAACTCTTCTGTTTTTATTCTTCTCAGATTCACTTCTTAGCAGCTCACTATGAATATCATAAAAAGGTCTGTGAGTGTTTTCTGCATTTGTATCAGCGTGGAAGATAAGATAGAACAAAGGTTATGTATTGTGTTAGTGGAGCCGTCTGACTCTTTTTTAAATATTATATTTTAGGGCATTTGAGTTTAATCAATAGTTGCCAGTAGAGGGTGGCAGACTCTAACAAGACAACAGAGAGACAGGAAGAGAGAGAGAGAGAGAGAGAGAGAGAGAGAGAGAGAGAGAGAGAGAGAGAGAGAGAATTACATAAGAGATTCAAATCAGGAACATTACAGAGACATATTAACATCAGACCACAGCGGGCCGATAGCACAGTATGAATGTGCATATTTTAGCACCGTGGGTGCGTATTTCTCTAAAAGTGAGGAACTAAAATAACCAGTTGAGTTAATTAATCTTCTTTCTTGTTATGTGTTGAACTATACGAAAACCATCAGTCAAACCAACAGTTACATAAACAACATCTCCATGAAGCGTTTGGCATGAACTTTCAAGAAGAGAAACTTGCAGTTCTCCTTGGTGAAAGGGTCATATTGAGACATTGTATTAAATTATATTTGTTGTAAATTAATTGTAACAAAAAATATCGTATATGACAACTATGTATTTACTATGTATGAGATATGTTATTATTGTTAATTGCTTTGGAAACACGTTTTTGTTCACGTCAATAAAGACCTTTGAATTTGAATTTGAATTGAATTGAGAGAGAGAGAGAGACAGAGAGCGAATGTAAAGAAAGGAGAAAAAAGAAAGACAGCTATAAAACCAAAAACACAGACACCAGTTGGACCCAATACTACTACATGAATACTTTGAAACTGTAAAACAGAATAAACAAACCATTAGACAAAAGAAATTCCACCACACCAACGAAAGGCTTCAGGAAATTGACCAGGGTCAGTTCTGGGAAATATTGAAACTACTAGCAATACAATAGAATGAAAATGAATGAAAAATATCAAACATCTGATTGTATGTATACCTTACACACTTTAATTAACACGAAAGAAAGAAAACACAAATCATGATCTTCCAGAACCCAGATGTTTTGAAAACAAATACCCATTTACTCTGAACAACACTCAAATTAAAACACACACAAAATTACACTTACTTTGGTTTTACCATATCTGCATCAGGAAGTTTCAATGTGGCAGTAAAAAAAAAAAAAAAAGGACTTAGGGCTGGATAAGCTGATAACTTGTTGTTTCAGGGGCTTTTAGTGTGGATATCTTTGCATTTAGTGACCACATTAACCGTGGTTCCTCTTTTTCCTTTCAACTGTGCTATTTTTTCAACACTCTGGTGAGAGTTTTCACACCTTCTTATCTGAAACTGATCACTAAGAGAAGGCAATTTAGGCTGCTTGGTGTAAGGGGACATGGAAGCTGTGATTGGACTATTGCTGATGCTCGCAGTCTCTCACGGTGAGATGTTTAACTTGTTTAAATTTACACATTGTGTGAATCTCTTTGATATATTAAAAAGTACAGTCTCACATCATCTTCACTGATGTGTTTTACAGCTCAAACACTGATGCACACTAGAAGAAAGTTCATACTAGAATAATAACACATAAATTAATTTGATATAATTTAATTAAATACAATCAAAGATAATGTTCAATTGACTACCATAAATCTATAATGCTGAAGGAACCTAAAATCCCTTCTGGTGTATTTTTATGAATTTACATTACACCACTGGTCAAAGGCCTGTGTAACTCTCAGCTACACAAGAATAACTTGCTGTTGGCAAACTGTGGTCTGAGAGACACAGCTGCAGCAAACCCACTGTTTCTGTGGGTTTGACTATGTCTCATTGTGATTAATTTAGTAGAAATTGAAGGACTATATTTGTTTAATTGTTTTTGGAACTTATTAATTTATATTATTTTTACATTTTTTCAGGTGGGAAAACCTACTGTGATGGCAGACAGGATGGAGCTCAGTGTTATGGAGCTTTGAGAGGAACTGTGGTCCTCCAGCTGATGGACAGTACCTCAGAAATATTCAGATACGAATGGTTAAAGAACAAAACAACATCAGTACTCAGAGGGGGTAGGAACAGGTATGTGTATAATCTGATAGCAGACAGATCTTCATTTACTCCCAGTGATGGAACATTTAGAATCAATGACCTGAGCAGGACTGATGGAGGCGACTACACTCTCATAATCTTTGATTCAAATGGACACCAATCAGTGCTGCAGACTCTACAGTTGATCATTCAAGGTAAAAAACATTTTGCCTACTGGGGAATTTAGTAATATTCATATAAATACATGTTATATTCCGTTGCTAACCTACAGTATTGTTCTTTACTGGATTATATAATTGTATATATTAATTGTATATGTTGTATATAATGACTAAGATTCTGTTACTATGAAAGGTCATCTGAGTGTGTTTCCTTCAGCTCCTGTGTCCTCTGTCCTGCTGGTCTCTGAGTGTCTGTCCCAGGGAGAGATGAAGGTGTCCTGTTCCTCTGAGGGAGGAGACAGTCCTCAGTACAGCTGGACTCTGGATGGACACACACTGACAGACACTCAGCTCCTCTCTGGAAATAATGAGACTAACAACATCACTCTGAAACCAGACGTCTCAGGACAACTGGTCTGCTCAGTCAGGAATCACGTCAGTGGGATATCTACCTGTGGTGAGTCAGAAAAGTGAAAAACAGTTTGATAGTTATGACACTGATGATTAACTGTACATCTGTTTGTTTCTTATAGGCTACATGTTCACTGACTGCACCTTATTCAACGGGACACACATATTGCAGAGTGTGCGTATATCCAGTAACACCCAGTGCATTGAGCCAACATCAGCCTCTACCACGATTACAGACACTTCTGAGGGTAAGGAGACTGGCGTTACGGTGTCAGTTAAACCCCCCACTAATATCCCATCCTCCAATCAAACTGTGACTTCTTCCAGCTCAGACGACTCATGGCACTTAAGTAAGTAAAAACTAACTCTCCTGTCACAGCTATAACATGTATGACATGTAATGTTTGTGTCTCTTTATCTGAACAGATCACTCCCTGCTCATATTTGGCTTGCGAGCAGCTGTGGTGATTCTTATACTGAGTGGGATTGCTGTTTATTTTGTCTGGAAGAAGAAGAAATACGAGAAACCTGAAGGCTCTGCCGTCCGTCGAAAGAGGGAACATCAAGAGAACTCTGTTATAATGGTTGAAATGAGAAGTTCTGCATCTGAACTTTAATTTTCTGGAACCAGAACCTTCGTGTCGCCTCTCACCTGCTGTGATTGGTCATGTGTCTTTATGGATGTGAAAATAGAGTTTAGAGCAGAAACTCTTCTGTTTTTATTCTTCTCAGATTCACTTCTGCTTACTGTGTGTGCAGCTTAGCAGTTACTGGAATACCTTCCCTTAAAAACGTTCTGTGAGTGTTTTCTGCATTTCAAGCAGGAGAGACTTCCTTTCGAATAAACAAATAAATTGATATGTGCACAATGAAGATGAGAAATGTGAAAAGTTTTGGCGATTAGACCCTATCGTGATGTCATCATGTTTGAAGGGGTAAGTGAAACTGTGATTAGTACAGAAAACCTTATAGAAGTGTAGACCTCTGATGAGCTCAACCTGAGCCTCATTTGTAGCACTGAGGAAGCTCTGATAGAATAAAAGTTAAGTATTGGGACCCTAGTTCAATGATCGACAGTGGAGCTCTTTTATTTTTTTATATTTTTCTTCAAAGAGAAATTGTGTTATGGTGGCAAATTGTTTAAACTGTTTAGTAGCTATGTATGTAATGTAAAACCTCTCAAAGCATTTCACAGCGAGACCTTTCATTCAGTCACGTGTCTCAGTCAGTTTAGATAAGCTAGCATTTTGTTGATGTTTTGATCATGAACTGCTCCTCTAATGACTGCTGAGAATTAAATCGCACTTTCACACTCATTATAGTATTAGTATGCTCTACAGAGGAGTTCCTGTTTATGGATAATTCTGTTTTTAGTAAAAGTGTTGAAAAACTGTTGAGAATATCTAAACATTCAGGAAAAATAATGATCAGTAATAAATCATCTTAAAGCAAGTCTTAAGAGACTTTACTCATGTGTTTATTGCTGCAAGGACAAAGTCAGTGTTACGTCCCCAGTTGTGGGGTCCAGGGGAAAAGAGAAGTAACAATTAATAATTTACCCGGGCGTTTAAAGAAGGATTGGAAACATAAGGATTTGTGCTTTTAAACTATTTATTTTAACGTAAAAGGGGTCCAAAACGTAAACACAAAACAACTTCCTAAAAAGAAAGGAAGTGAAAACACACTTAACCAAACAAACCACTAATACAATAAATAAACAACGCTATCCCTCCACTGAGGGAATAGTGGTTACACGCAACACAAGCACCACACAGCTCTGTTTCACACCCGACAGCGACACGCCTCTATGTGGTAGTTCTTTTGGCCCACTGGCCCCGTCTGCTTCTATCACAGCAGCTTTATAACAATCCTCCTGATTGCTCTGGTTCTGCAGGTGTGCCTGACCAGTTGGAGGGGAGGGCGGTACCTGGAACAGGACACAAGACAGCAGAGGCAAAAACATACACACGTAACAGTCAGTATTATATTTTAAGGTGTTTGCCTTTAATGAACAGTTGCCAGTAGAGGGGGGCAGACTCTTACAACAGAGAGAGCGAGAGAGACCCACAGAAACTGGAAGACAGACAGGTGAGGCCGCCCAGAGAGGAGCGTGTATTCAACAGGAGAAATAGAAACAGAGATGCACTTTCTCCTCCACTGTGAGAAGGTATCTTCACTAAGAGACAAAAATATAAGAAAATATCAGATTTTCTAAGATCCTCCTTGGTGAAGGGACAACAGCTCCTCTAGCAGCCCAAAAAAATTATATTGAGTAGGTGTATTAAATGACATGTATTGTAAATTAACATTGTAAACAAAACTGTATACAACACGTATTAATATGTAGCCTATCTAATATGAAATATGTGATTATTGTTAACTGCCTTGGCAACACGTTTTTGTTTGTTGTTTGCCCTTGAGTGAGTGAGAGTGAGTAAGTGAGAGTGAGTGAGTTCAAACCAACTCAACCAAACCAACAGAAATTGCTTCAGACCACAGTGAGCCAACAGTACAGTGCAAATGTCCACATCCCAGCATCAGGGGCGTTTCTAGACCCCCTGGGGGCCCTAGGCAAGAAGGACCATGGGGCCCCCCAGAATCATGATGAATGAAGTCCAGGACTACGGATCAGTAAAGAAATCTTTTATTAAACAATTAACATATGAAATAAATAATAAATAACATAACTATCTGAATGCAAACTTTATATACAATATATAAATAATAGAAAAACAAACATAACTGAAATGTGCAACATTTTCAGAATGATAAAAACGCAACCAAGCAAGAAAACAAACAAACAAGGAATTGAAGTGGAAAGGAAGAACTTAAGACTTGCTGTGACACCTTGGTCCTAAATCCACAGTCCAATAGTAGTGCCTTTTTTTCCTTAAAACTGCTGCTTGCGGGCCTTGGCTTCTGCAAATGCAGCCACTATGTCTTCCATATCTAAGGACCTCCGAACATCTCTTTCTATTGAAATCAGTGCCAGTCCTGTGAGCCTCTCCTGGCAAATGGTTGACCTCAAATAGGTTTTGATCAACTTCAAAGCAGAAAAGCTCCTCTCACCAGAGGCAACAGAGACAGGAAGAGTCAAGAGGAGATGCAATGCAATGCTTAGATTACTGTACAGATCCAGAAGGTTTTCACTGTAAATTAATGGAATAATTAATGAACATCCATTTGCAGTAACAACTTTAATGCTTCATGTTAACATTTTATTTAATGTAACATTTAGGCTATAGAAGAAAATGTATGGATATATAGCATATACTTTATTTATCCCCGAAGGGAAATTCAGTTGTCCAGCAGCTCACATTTAAAAAACATAATTCCAAATACAAATTAGCACCAGTTTGGACAGACTAAACTGACAGCAGAATTGATGCTGGTATGGGTTTTAACATTTGACAACAAATGCTTTATTCTGGGAGAAAATATCATTGGCATTGGCAGCAAAGGACTAACTTATTGTGTGGCTATGAATGTGTTTAGAAGAAAATGAATTCACTTTACACGGACTTTAATGTGCAGTAAACTTTTTTGGTGCTTGGTGGATGACTGGGAGTTTGGGATAAAGTGGCAGGCTGGCTGGCAGCACTACTTTTTTATAATGTAACACACATAGCTTACACATTCCCACTTACCACTGTCACGTTTTTTCTTTTCATCCTCTTCTTGTTTTGTTTTTCTTTTCGTGTGCCCAGAGAGATATGTTCGCTTCATTTTTTCATCTGTGTGTTTGACCGGGACCGCACGTCGATGCCGGCTAGTAAGGGGGCCACATTAGGGAGATTCCCGACGTGTCATTGCAGTGTCTACAGGGGTTTCAAGTTGTGTCGCTGATATGGAGCGATATCAGCCGTCTGTCGGGGCCCCCTTCAGCTCGGGGCCCTAGGCAATTGTCTGGGTTGCCTGTCCAGTTGCGGCGTCTCTGCCCAGCATATTGTCTGTGTACTTCTGTCAAAAATGAGGAACTAATAATCCTCAGACTGTAGATAAATGAGGAACTGATATGACCAGTTGACATTTCAGTTTTTGATATCGCACAAATCTAAAACACTTTCTGGTTTGCAAAATCTTTGTAGTAGATGAAGCTGTGTCACTTCAAAGTCAATAGACACATTTTTGCTGATCAGAGCCCAATTTTTTTTGTCAGTTGCAAAGATTAAGCAAGAGTTTACTTATCTCCCCAATGTCTGTGCTTCCTCTTAACTCCTTTAACTGTGCTATTGTTTTTTACAACACAGTTCCCATGCCTTCTTGTCCGAAGCTGATCACTAAGAGAAGACATTTCAGGCTGCTCTGTGTCAGATGTGCATGTTAGATATTGAATAAAATAAAGTAGGTTCGTCTGGGAAGTGACTGAGGCTGAACACTGAGGAGACATGGAAGCTGTGATTGGACTGTTGCTGATGATACTCGGAGTCTCTCATGGTGAGCTGTTTAACTTGATTAATTTGACACATTTTATGCAGCAATTAAATCAAATATATTCATAAAGTATAGTTAAATATTATATTCAGTGACATGTTTTACAGCTCATCACTGATGCACATTGTAACCAAATTCACAAAAGAACCATGACACATATAATTAAGTATGTTTTTAAGTTTTCCAACGTTGATCTTCAATTGACTGCCAAGGAAACAAATAGCAGATCCAAAAAATAGAATACAAAAGATTAATGAAAGATTAAATCTCAATGAAATTCAAAGGCCCAAAATCTGAAAGATAATATTTATTTTATTATCAATCAATTGGAAAACTTAGTAATAAAGTTAATGTGGAATTCTAATCTAAATCACAATTACAACATGCTGTTACACCATAATAATAATTATTAATTTATTTAATAACGAAAGGAATCTTTTAAGAGGAGGGATTTCAAATTTCTGTTATGTTGTTAAGTGAAATATTTGGATGCTACCACATATTTGTATACAGCTTTATTGCACAAGAACATATTTTTGGGGCTTTTTGCTTTTTTCGGATGGGACAGCTCAAGATTGACATGGTTGGAGAGAGAGGGGATGACATGGAGAAAAGGGCCACAGATCAGAATCAAACCCATAACCCATATTGCAGCAAGGACTCATCCTTGGTAAATGGGGCACCAACTATACCAGGTGAACTATCAGGGCGTCCCTGGGGGATTCTTTAAGGCAGAAGCAAGATCATTTATTCTCACTGGTGTGCTGAGAAACTTACATAAGCTGTGCTTGGTTAAATTATAACAAGTGGGTCTTGCATGGGCTCCACCACAGAAGGAGCAGGTGTGGAGGAAACGGCAGCTTGAAATGTTGCATCCTAGGTCACTGAAGTGAGGTTCTACTCAATGAACACAAACATAGACATGAAAATAGAAATAGAAATGTAATAGCTACGTACTATTTACCAGTATGTAGCTATTGAAGACAGGCATGAAAGTCTTGTGAGACAGAGTTTGGGCTTTGTGTGTGCTAATGTCTTTCTCCCTCTCTCTGTCTGTCCTAGCACTCCCAGAGTTCACTAAAGTTCCTGTCGACCAGATTGGCGTCTCAGGGGGCGTGATCTCGTTTGTGTGCCAGGCAACGGGGAACCCCAAGCCGAGGGTAAGCTGGATGAAGAAAGGAAAGAAGACACAGAACCAGCGTGTTGAGGTGAGTCAATGAGCACTGCTGCACTCTCAGGGCGAGGAGGGCAACTTTATTGTTACTGTACTGTACTATGTCACTAGGGATGTCCAATATCTCACAGTAGGCTATGAGTTTTTAAACAGGTTTTGAAAGTGTTGATGTCTACTAAATGTTAGTGATATGTTTAGTTGCATTGAGCAGTGAGATTGCAGATTGCAACCAACTGAAACCATTGCCTCAACGAAAAACATCTGGGAGAATCTATGGTGGCCACAAAAAATGTGAAGGCTGTATCTAGAGCCAGTGTCTGGTTGGTCCTTTCTAGGCTACTGTAGAAACATGGTGGTTCAACATGGCAGGTGGAAGATGATGGGTAGAAGAGGTCCGCTCCTTTTGTAGATATAAAGGGCTCATCTGAAAGTAATAAAAACACAGGGGGAATCAAGTGATTAATGGAAATATACTTATGGGTATTGTGTTTCATTTCTGCCATATTCTGCCAGTAGATCCCCCCGAACTCTGATTGGCCAAAGTCTCTCGTCACAGGGCTAGATTTTCTAAAGCCTAAAAAGAAAGCCAAGAGGACACGCAGAAGTCTAGTTTTCTTTGAGACCACTTGAATTACAATATGCTGAAAAGTTATTATTGAATCTTTTCCCCAATAACGGCAAAAAAACCAAAAAACAAAACACTACCTAACCAAGCTTTAACTTCAAAACAGGCACTATTGCTTTAAGAATGCACACATCTGACTTATGACTCTCTATCCTACAGGTCATTGAGTTTGATGAAGGTGCCGGCTCCGTACTCAGAATCCAGCCTCTCGGAGTGTCACGTGATGAAAGCATCTATGAATGCGTTGCTGAGAACAATGAAGGCAATGTCTCTGTCAGTGCTAATCTGTCAATCATCCGAGGTGATTCTCTAAATAGTTTTCAAATAAATATAGTAACTTCTGATCAACTCAAATCAATTTCAGACTTGTTTAGAAATAAACATCTTCTTCTCTACTTCTGTTTTAATCCTCACTTCGAGTATGGAAACAGATCATTTAGTTGGTTGAACAAATACTGATGACAGTGGACTTGTTCATCCCTAGTCTCAGTTAAGTATTGAAATATTGAAATAAGACACATGGTCCTTAATAGACAAGCTAGTTGAGTGGGAATACAGTTTATGAGTATCCGGCTACAGGAAAGTTTCTCTAACTAGTAGAATGCTAGTTTATTTGCTGAGAAAGAGGAAGTGAAAGAAGCACAGTGCTTGCTATTCTTGTGTTGTTCTTAAACCTCTTCAGTGCCTCAACACAGTCCTCTCTGAGAGCCTTCTATCCTCAGCTGGTTTGTTATGTGGCTACTGTATATGGCTAATGTAACACTCCTGAGGTGCACTTGTCTCAGTGGTCAAAGGTTAATTTGGATAAGGAAAGTCTTTTGAGATAATAAAAATGTTGAATACAAATTGGATTACATTAGACTCTATTGTCTATTTATTGTTACACTTTTGTATCTTCTTTTATTTTAATCACTATTGTGTTTTCCTCTTTTCCTGTTCTTGTCACAGAGGACCTACTCCCACCAGGCTTCCCTACCATTGACATGGGTCCTCAACTCAAAGTGGTGGAGCGCACTCGAACAGCCACTATGCTCTGTGCTGCCAGTGGCAACCCTGACCCAGAAATCACCTGGTACAAAGACTTCCTGCCCATTGACCCCAGTGCAAGTAATGGGCGGATAAAACAGCTACCTTCCGGTACGGCCCAAGCATTATGTTCCTACATTTTCCCCTCTCATTAACTTGAGCACTTAATTTGATTTCCCAGGACATTTTGGGGAAAAGTTAAAATGGTTGTTTTTGTGTTTTGCAATGTGCCTGTAGTGTCTAATCTTTTTTTCTTCCAAAATGTTAGATTAATATCAAATGTGTGATTAAGAGCACTTTAGCTTTTCAGCAGACTTATATCTCCAACTTGGGAGCACATAAAATTATTTGATAAAGATCCCATCAGGTACTGCAACACTGACTGAAACAACAGAATAAATTAGGAAAAATTATGCTTTGTTTTTGGTCAATGCCAATGTGCATTTATCCCAGAGCCGAGTTTACCCAACTAAATTCAATTCAATTCAATTTATTTGTATAGCCCCAATTCATAACAGAAACTATCTCAGGACACTTTTCAAATAGAGCAGGTCTAGACTGAACTCTTTAAAACATTAATTACAGAGACCCAACAGTACCACCATGAGCAAGCACTTGGCGACAAGGGCAAGGAAAAACTGCCTGTTAAAAGGCAGAAACCTAGGACAGATCATTCGGCTCTAGGTGGGTGGTCGTCTGCCTCGACCAGTTGGGGTGAGAGAGAGAGAGAAAGGAGAGAGAGAGAGAGAGAGAGAGAGAGAGAGAGAGAGAGAGAGACACAGACAGACAGGTGTACAGCAACAAAAGTATTGGCAATGGCAATCTAGCAGGACCATGGCAGGAGGCTCCACCAGGATCGATAAGAACCTGCAAGACGAGAAAGCACAAGAACTCCGGGGAAGAAGTGAAGTTAGTAACATGCATTAATGGAACATGAATGAGTGCAGAAAGAGAGAGGAAGGGAGGAGCTCAGTGCACCATGGGAAATCCCCCGATAGTCTAGGCCTATAGCAGCATAACTAAGGGATGGTTCAGGACTCACCTGATCCAGCCCTAACTATAAGCTTTATCAAAGAGGAATGTCTTAAGCCTACTCTTGAATGTGGAGAGGGTGTCTGCCTCCCGAACCACAACTGGAAGCTGGTTCCACAGGAGAGGAGCTTGGTAACTGAAGGCTCTGGCTCCTGTTCTACTTTTAGAGACTATAGGAACCACAAGTAGCCCAGCATTCAGAGAACGTAGTGTTCTAGAGGGGTAATAGGGTACTATGAGCTCTTTAAGATATGAAGGGGCCTGACCATGAAGAGCTTTAAAGGTGAGGAGGAGAATTTTAAATTCTATTCTACATTTTACAGGGAGCCAGTGCAGAGAAGCTAGTACAGAAGAGATGTGATCTCTTTTTCTAGTTCCTGTCAGTACTCTTGCTGCAGCGTTCTGAATTAAATGGAGCGTTTTTTAATGGACTTATTGGGGCAACCTGATAATAAAGAGTTGCAGTAATCCAGCCTTGAAGTAACAAATGCATGGATTAGTTTTTCTGCATCTGTCTGAGATAGTATGTGTCTAATTTTTGTGTCTCCTTGCTTCCTTTCCCTTCTCTCACTTTTTCTCTCTCTTCCCCCTCCTTTCTTATCTTTGTTGCATGTTGTCATTTTCCAGGTGCCTTGCAGATCGAGAACAGCGAGGAGTCCGACCAGGGGAAGTACGAGTGTGTGGCGTCTAATGTGGAAGGCGTGCGCTACTCTTCCCCTGCTAATCTTTATGTGCGAGGTAGGAAGCAACCTGGCCACAGAGCCAGCACAAAAAATAATAACATCTTCCACTTATAAGAAGAGGTGTAAATCTTCACTCACCTAACCATTTGATTTGATTACAAATCACCTGGAATGCAATCATGCATCTCAATATATGTTATGCATGTGGTTACTTTTTAATCAGCAAGAAGTCAGATACATCTGAACTCCCATTTTATTTAGAAAGTGCTTTCAAAAATCAGACTTAAACAGTATATAAACTTTTACATCAGTATGTATGTGACCCACTTCAGTACACAAACCTTATCAAAACAAATCCTGTGCTGTAACAAAATGAACAAAAGTGTTTTCACATAGCAGTTCTAAGACAGCGCTCTTCCTGAATGTGGCAAACATCATAAACATGTCTCAGAACATAACAGAGCAGACAACAGTAATAACTCTAATACATGGCACTTCCTGCTGAGTTGGCTTCATGATGGGGCACCAGGGGGAAGAAAAATAATTTTACATGAGCAAACTTCCTGACTTGAACTGCAACAACCATGTTGGATGTGTTTTCTTTCACCACCACTATATCTTTATCTGTTAACTTCCGTTCTTTCACGACTTTTAACAGTATCTCCGTCAGATGAGAACATGTGTGACTGTGATAAATGTGTCTTGTCAGCAGCACATGCAATAAAATTCGCCAGTTGTCCTTTCTCATATAATTTGCAGTTAATATTACATACGAGTCAGTCGCAACATAAGTCCAGGCCTCACATTCAATGGTTATTTGACTATCTTTATTCATTGACTAGGCTTCTTTTACTCTCTCTCAGTTTTTCTGTATTTTCTCTTTAATTGGTTTCCTTCTCTAACAAAAGCAAATACTACCACCATAAGAGCCTCTCCCTGTGGCTATAAGAAGCTTGTGAAATTTTTAATTATGGTATGCTTGATTTGATTCCAATGGTGCCTTAATATTTATTTTTTCTTACCAAACATTGCTACTGGGGTGATTGTTTTGGTTCAAAGTGTATTGAAGGGCGGCAAGCAAGTGTACTTTCAAGACAGGTGTCACTGATTGCAGGGACAAGAGGTAAAGATTTAAATGTTGCTGCAGCTAAACCGTTTTTACCCCTCTCTAAAATAGATTTCTCTATTTTTCTCTTCTCCTCATGTTATCGTGTTCTGCACTGTCCCCTTTACATCCCTCAGAGCTAAAAGAAGGTTGGTGTTTTTTCTTCTACTTTTTAACCCACATTTGAAAAAAAATAAATTGTGTTGAATATGTAAAACTTTGCTGTATTTGCCTCTTACATACTATATTACTAATCATTTAAAGGTGGTGTATGTTTTTCTGGAGAAATACCATGAGAAATGTTAAAAAGATATAGAGCTAACAACGACACAATAAGTAATGTAATGTCAGCTATGTTGTGGGTTACAATTGATTACAAATATCTAACGGTGGAATTAGAAACGTTAACACGTGAAAAACAGTCCTTCCACCCTGTGACATCTGTTTCACCTGGACTTTATAGGAATCAAAAAGGTTTGCCTGCGCCTGTTTCTGTAAAAGATGTGGGAACAACAGTTTCTGATCTAACGCTGTTCAACCCGCCCAAGTCAATTTTTGTTTTCTATTCCCTATTTTCTCCTATCTTTATCCAATTAGTGAGAAGAGTCCCACCTAGATTCTCCATTCCACCCACCAACCAAGAGGTGATGCTAGGCGGCAGTGTCAACCTGACATGTGTAGCAGTAGGCTCGCCAATGCCCTACGTAAAGTGGATGATGGGCTCGGAGGATCTGACCAAGGAAGAAGAGATGCCAATAGGACGTAATGTGCTGGAGGTCACCACCGTCCTTACGTCAGCAAACTACAGCTGTGTGGCCATGTCGTCTCTGGGCATAATAAAAGCCACAGCTCAGATCACTGTCAAAGGTGAGAGTTGTTGTTGAGACAAATTCAGACCTGTTGTACTATCTCTCTCTGAGTCAGGTTGCTGCTGTAACAATGTGAACTGTTGATTTGAGTCACCAACAGATTTCTGATATTTTTGTTAATGGATTGTTTTAAAACAGAATACTATACATATTTTACCACTGCCCCTGTGCTGTGGCCTGTGTTTTTTTTTTTTTTTTAAATTAAAGACCTTTGCAGGTGCTTTTTGCAGTCTCTTTGTCAATGTTGTATGTGTCTCTTTCTACATGTTTGTTAAGACAGCACTAGAACGTATGAAACAATAATTTCAGTGCTATGAGTTACAGAATGGAGTAATCAAGTCATTTCGGCTGTATTGTGCCTACAAGTCAATTTTTGATACCAAATCTAATACCCTGCTTCTCCCTCCTCAGCCTTGCCAAAGCCCCCAACCTCCCTCATTGTGACTGAGACCACAGCCACCAGTGTGACTCTCACCTGGGACTCTGGGAACCTTGAACCTGTCTCCTACTACGTAATCCAGTACAGAGCCAAGTCCTCAAACAATGACTTCCAGGAGGTGGATGGTGTGTCAACAACCCATTACAGTGTTGGTGGACTAAGGCCCAACTCTGAGTATGAGTTCCGTGTCTTGGCTGCCAAAACCTTTGGCCGTGGACTTCCCAGCAATCCTGTGGAGGTGCACACCAGTGAACAGGCCCCCTCCTCGCCACCTCTGCACATCCAAGCACGCATGCCGAATGCCAGCACAATGCTGGTCCAGTGGGAACCACCAGAGGAACCCAATGGTCGAATCAGGGGTTACCGGGTCTACTACAGCTCGGATCTGACGACTCCACTCAGCGCCTGGCAGATACAGATTACAGAGGACAGTATGACTACCATCTCAAGCCTGATTCCTGACATCACCTACGGCCTCAGGGTGCAGGGCTTCACCTCTGTAGGTGACGGGCCACTTTCCGATATGGTGCAAGTCAAAACCCAGCAGGGAGGTGAGCAGCAGAGTTATTAGGGGTCAGTTAGTAGGGTCAGAGCAGTAACACTGCGAGAACCCTATTGGTTTACATTACCAAGTTACATTACCACTACCAGTACAGCATTTGCTGCCTCTACCCCAACACAGAGCATGAAATCAGCCATCAACACAATCAGTCTGTTTCCTCCCACTGAGCCAGCAGAAACCCGGACCTTTCTTGTCATTAGGGCACAAGCTTTTGTACCTCACTATCTGTTCCTCTCAATTCAATTCCCTCTAAACCTAGGGACTTAAAATATGAATGTGTTCATTTTGTATGATTAAACCTTAACTTTTACCATGACGGTCACTTCCTGTGACCTCTCTTCAGGATGCATTATGTAGTACATATTTTTCATAGTGGTATGCAGTATGAATTGAATTGTATTTTACAGGCTCTGTCAGTTTC